TTAAAAAAAAACTGATGCTAAATCTCACTGTAAAAAAAAACTGATGCTAAATCTCACTGATGCCGTGTAGTGCCGGCCTAGAATAGAATAGCACTACCCCCTCTCATCCCGTGGGTGTCGTAAGAGGCGACTAAGGGAAACTTCACCTAAGGAGATGGGCAGCAGCATCTCCTTATGCGAACCGGTATACTGCGATCGCCAACCCGCCTGCCAAGCGTGGCGATTATGGCAAAACCCCCCCCATATGAATCGAAACAACACAAAACGGCCCCTAGTCCCCGGCGGCCCCGCTATTCCTGGCTACGGTAGCGGCCACGGTAACGGCGGGGCAGGGGGTGCGAAGAATCCCCGGGTAGGACACGGCTGCCACAACAACCGATTACTGGCGCTGGCAACCTACAACACGCGCACACTGAGGACCGATGCCAAGATGATAGAGCTGGAAGAAGCTATCAGCAAGTTACACTGGGACGTCATCGGGTTATCTGAAGTCCGAAGAGAGGGAGAGGACACGATAACTCTAGACTCCGGTAACTTGCTGTACTTCCGGGAGGGCGACCAACAGTCCGTAGGTGGTGTCGGGTTTATCGTCCACAAGTCCCTCGTCAACAACGTGCTGACCATCGGTAGTGTTTCGAGTAGAGTAGCGTACTTGGTACTCAGAATATCATCACGATATTCGATGACTGTCATCCAAGTCTACGCTCCAACCTCGAAACACACCGATGACGAAGTGGAGACTATGTATGAGGAGATCTCTCGGGCCATGCATAGCCACAAAACGCACTACACGATTGTGATGGGGGATTCCAATGCAAAGTTGGGGAAACGTTGCGGTGACGAGCTGAGAGTGGGGCAATTTGGATTTCGGGAACGGAACGATAGGGGCCAGATGCTGGCGGACTTTATGGAGAGGGAGAACCTCTATATGATGAACTCCTTCTTCAGAAAGCCCGTCACCCGCAAATGGACCTGGATAAGTCCCGACGGCAAGGTCAAAAATGAGATTGATTTTATCATGTCGACGAAGAAGCAAATATTCAATGATGTCTCAGTGATCAACGCTGTTAAGACAGGAAGCGATCACCGCATGGTAAGAGGCACATTGAATATCAACGTTAAGCTTGAAAGATCGCGACTGATAAAATCAACGCTCCGACCGGTGCCAGCCCAAATTCAAAACCCCGAGCGCTTTCAGCTCGAGCTCCAGAACCGCTTCGAGTACCTTGAGAACAGCATAGACGTGGACGATCTGAGCGACCTGGTGGTGGATACTGTCCGTACGGTAGGGTCTAAACACTTTAAAACCCGCCGTACCAAATTAAAGAAACTCTCCGCATACACACTCGAACTCATGGATAGGAGACATGAAATGAGACTACAGTACTCAGCGGATGCCCTTCGTTATAGACAGCTTAATAGACAGATCTCGAAGTCGTTGACGAGCGACCTTCGCCACTTTAATACCGAGCGTATTAAAGAGGCCATAGACCGGAACAAAGGCTCTAAAGTGTTCGCTAGAGATCTGTCTATTGGGCAAAGTCAACTGACCAGGCTGAAAACTGAAGACGGTAGTATCATTTCATCGACTCCTGAAATCCTGAGGGAGATTGAGAGTTTCTATAGGCAGTTATATTCCTGCAGAACACCAGGCGAAAGCAGAGCTCGAGATCCTAGAGCCAAGCTTACCCGACATTATACCGAGGATATCCCGGACGTCAGCCTGTACGAGATTAGAATTGCCCTCAAACAGCTTAAAAACAACAAGGCGGCGGGAGATGACGGAATCACAACAGAGCTTCTGAGAGCGGGCGGTACGCCGGTACTTAAAGTCCTCCAGAAGCTCTTCAACTCCATTATCCACCAGGGTAAAACGCCGAAGGCATGGAGCAGAAGCGAGGTGATTTTGTTCTTCAAAAAGGGCGATAAGACCCTACTGATCTCACTTAATCTTAGTTAATGAGTTTTATTAAATAAAAACTTTTTTTGCTCACTCTACCTATTTAGTTTGAATTGACAGCTATGACATCACAATATGGCGCCCAGTCGGTCCTATTCTTAGTTAAATCGCATTATATGGGTCAGTAACGAATGACCATAATTACGGCTTCTGCCATAAGGGCCATGGCCTTCTAAGCCATAGGGTTAATACGCCCCTGACTCGGATTACTAAAAAATGCGTCAACTAGAGTTTTTCATTATAAAAAGCCGAGATATTTCTTATGAATTCGTTTTTGAGCGTTTCGACCGAGGGTCCACCTACTAGAGCCTATTATGCCGTACTTGTAGAATATTTTAACCTCGTAGGTACTCACAGGGCAGGACAACATTTTGGCTTATTCTGCTAAATTTTAAAGCTTGCCAAAGAAACTCAGCTTTAACTACAGAATAGCAGTAGAGAAAATTTTGAACACTTTAGTACCACCAACTGAATGGATTTTTATTGTTTGTAGTCACTCAACAGAGTTCAACTTTTTGTAGGTAGTCCTACAAATTAACTTCTTAATATATCCATTCATAAAAATTATGTTAATTGGTCAGATCACAGAATACAGAAAGAGGTTAGAAGGGTGATAAGCGATCGCCAGTGTGAGAACCGATGTCGCCGGCTCGTCCCCACTATACTTCCACCTAATAGATAATAAGCCAATCAAACGACGCGACATCAAGCAACCGAACGAATCAGCGCTGACAGTCGTGACTGTGAGCGTTCATTCGTTCACACCGATTTTAGCTCTAGTGGTTGTCACTGAGTCGATGAAATATTATCGATATTAAATATGCCAAGTGCGAGTTGGACTTGACTTGGTTGTATGGAATTTTTTGTATCCTATCAAAATCAGTTAAGATAAAGAAAATGATTTAATGTAAAACGCATTACTACAGATAGTTATTTATTTAAACAATATATATTTATGAAAAAGGTGACGCTTTGTTTCTTTTTTAAAGTTATTTTTCAAAAGAAATATATCTATATATTTTTCAATTACCACTTTAATTGAATCTGTTACGTGGTTAGATAATGGGAATTCATCGACTTGATAAAATGATATGTCATCAAATAATGAAGTAATAAACTTTTTTATATTTTGGTTTTATCGTTTTATTAAAATATCTCGAATTTTTGCTAAAATATCAGTCTAACTAAGAAGTTTTATACTTACCGATGAAAAGAATTGACTCCTTACTTTGTAAGTAATTACGGCACACGAAGGCATATTTTAAGCGGTAATCACAATACGCTCTCACTGAGCGGTCGCGGGCAACTAAACGACGCGATCTTACGTTACGGTCAAGTTATGAGCATTTGCTCATAACTGTGACGCGCCTGCCCCGGCCACAAGGCCATTCTAACCTCTTTCTGTGTTCTGTGGGTCAGATAAAGTAATATGAAAATTGAGGCGTCTCGTAGCGTTCAACTTACAGCACCTACTTTATACTTATGGGTACAATTATTTAAATGTCCTTCCTGCTAAATTTTTATGTTTATGAAACCTATATTTCCACTGTGGCCTCCCGGAGGGCGCGCTCATCTAAAGGCAGCACAATCCGCGCATGGTGGGATGAGCGCCTAAGGCCCACTTGCACGTAAATCTTGAGATATCAAAATAACTTCGAGTTTACTAACTCAAAGTTAATATAACATTTTCTTAACTCAGACTTTATCTTGCACGAACAGAAAATAATCCAAGGTTTACTAACCCAACTAAAAGAGAGAATGATGAATGACGTAAGTATTGTTCTCCCTTTCACACAACAGTATCTTGCATATATCTCTTTCGTAATGTCAAATTTGAAAAGACGTGGTGTTTTTGGGCGTTTAAGTTGAATGGCGTTCTGTATTTTTTCTGTAAAATAGGTGTTTGTATACCGATTGCATGGTATTTTTAAAGTACCTATCTGTCTCGTAAGTTTGTATTTTGTGACAACAATTTCGTGCGGTTATATTTTGTAAAATGAAGAAGAAATAGCGTTTACGTACCCCGAATTTTACAAGTAGTGACCGTTTATTGCTATGTGATATTTTATACAAATATATAAATATTATTGAAAATAAAAAAAATTACGGCGCTACTCTTCTTCAAAAACAAAAAGCTTGGCAGGATATCGGTCAAAAATATGTACCTACTTATATTATAGTCGACAATTTTTTCGACATCATCAGAAAACAAAAAGTCATCCAAGCATTCAGAAATAAATAAAATAAAATGTTGTCTCTATAAAAACAAACAACACAGCCTATAATAACAATTTTGACGTTTTAAATCTCGAGTTAGCAATTTAACCCTCCAATTTTGTCGGGTTAATTATTTTATTATTTAACCTAAGCTTTAGTGTTAACTCAAGGCAGTGCAAGAAAAAATATTTTTTTAACCTCAGTTTCATAGTTAACTCGAAGGTAAATAAATTAACCCTGGAACGTGCAAGTGGGCCTAAGTGGACTACAGACAAATTAAGAATTCCTCTTCAAATCATTAAAGTCTATCCTACCTATAGAACAGAAAAATCAGTTTTGTGCTGTGATCGTACCTAAAATAACCTGAAGTTATTTTTCTATTAAATCACTTCCTTGCATTAATAATATGAGATATTAATTCCACCTAGCGCCATCTCTCAACGGGAGTTAAAACTATCTATAAGCATTTACAAAGACACTTAAAATAAAAATGCTTTTCTTCTGTTTTTAATTTAACTACATTATGGATTTACATGTGGATTTAAAAAATTAAACGTGATAGTTTTGTTTTGGTTTCCTTTCAACAGATTAACATGCAATAAATGTTCTGAAATTTGAAGTTTCATTATAAGCAGCTTTGTAAACAGATTTTACATCGGTATTGGTTAAGATGAATATGATGTAATTGTATTAGTCGATAAAGAATCTTCAATAATACTAATTAACGAAATATCTAAACAACAAATTCCTACAATAATTTTTCGCATTAAAAGGTCGATCAGTCGCAATCGGAATACGTACGTATGTAGTGTCAGAATAGGGCTCCGCAAAAGATGTTGTCATCTGTCAAATTTGGCCTTCAATTGCTGGGACATTATGTACCTATTGCAATTTGTATTTAATTTTGCAATATTTGAGTGAAGTGTTAACTTAAATCGATGGTATGACATAGGAGTTATTGTGTTCTCGTGCTAAGATGACATCGAGAAGCAAAAACGCTGTTCGAGGTTACGAAACAGAGATCGAGAAGAGTAGAGAGGAGTCCAACTGGAAGAAGGCTATAGATTTAGCTCAGCAGCTAAAGGCCAGGTCACCACAACACGGTAGGCTCAAGACTTTGTCACCATGAACCAGGAACAATAATGACATTCATGATTTCGCGCTAAGCTTACATAAAATATGTACTTGTAAGGCGATCTTGAAAACATGTATGAAATTAAATTTAATTAAGTATAACTTATTTTTAAAAAATCCCTAATTTCTACTGACTTACTTCACTTTCTATAGCATTAATTTAATTAGCTTAGTTGTAAATCTATCAAGATATCAATAGTACATACTAGGTATGTTTATCAGATGCAGATAATCTGAAATACTTATTAAAATTTTCCATGAAAACTTACACATTATAATACTCAAAAGATCAATAGTTTGAACTGATAAAAAAAACTAATGTAGGAACTTATTCCTAAAAAGAAATTTGGCATTAACTTAATATTATTGGTGTATATTAAAAATATCTGATTCATAAGTTATTATAGTGTCTCTGTATCAGGTAAGAGTAAAACTGAAAAGCAAATTTTGTGAGCATATTCATATATTATATTTCCATTAATATCTCAAATTGAACACAAGCTGAAAGAAAACAAGTTATATGGTAGCAATCCCGCTAATAAGAAATATTTCTTTAAACTGAAAAAAGTATTAAATATTAAAATTTCCTTTTGACTAATTTGACCTTTCGATCGAACTATTTTCATGTGTCTGCTTATTGATAACAACTTGGCTTTCAGCTTATAGATAGTGATTTTATTGTTTTGTTTTGCAATGCACTATTATTGAAACAACAGTAATATCAAGGAGTATGTTAAGTTGCCATAAATATTTATGCTTGGTTCAATGATTGTATTGATTACTTGAATTGATAATGACCAACTCTGTCTCAATCGGTTACTCAACTAAAATACCTGCTGCTATGTTCGGTCTACATATTTTATTTACAAGCCTTTTTTCTGAAGCAGTTATGGCCCAACTACGAAATAAATAAGATAACATTTGTTTTTGTTTATGTACAGTCTCTAACTTCTTTGTGATACATAATATACAAGTAATCTCTTATCTATTAGACAAGTCCGTCCGTCCGTCCGTGGTGCTGTTTCAGCGGCCAAACCGTAAGAGATAGATAAAGAGAATGTTTAAGTTATAAGTTGAGAATAGTCTGATAAGACTATAAATCGGATGTGAGTAACGTAGCACTTCCGGTTTTCGAGAAATCACGTGATATCTATTTCAAACGAAACCACACAAAATCTCCGAAGTTCTCAATTAATTAAATACATTTTTTTTTTTTTGGTGAACTTTTGGTTCACTGGTTTGCTAGTTATCTTATAATTGAATACACTTGTTTGTATCCATAATAATATGGCTGTTCATATTTAATAATTTCATTAGAGACATATCTAGCAATAAAGTTCAAATTATCAAAAGACAGATAAATATTCATACTTAGACCCAGCAAAAGATGAAAATATGGCTTCACTTAATACAGTTAGGTATACTGACTGCTATAATGTTACAGTAGTATTATGGAATAATAAATTCATTTTTCTTCAACAGAAAGCCTTGCACACTTTCTGATTGGCGAAGGAAAGTTAGAAGCATATCTTGATGAATGGCCACCAACAAAAGAGAATCATGAGAGGGCACAACGGGAACTATCTGAAGCCAGAGGGTACCTCACTCTGGCAACTGATGAAGCTGGCACAAGAGCAGGAGTGGCGTTAGATGCTCATCTCCTACTTGGGAAACTGAATTATGCATGTGGAAGTTACGATGATGCACTAAAACATTATAAACTAGCTGAGTTAAATACACTTACGGAGAAGGAGCTGCCAGTGTAAGTATATAAATAATTTTCTAGGTTTTGATTAGATTCCATAAAAAATAAATATGTTGCAATATAGAACATCTGAAGACTGACTAATTTTTAACTGATGAGAAACAAGGAGGAGGTTATGAATTCAACACATATATTTTTTTATGTATGATCACACATAACTTGTCACAGGATAGTCCAATTTGATATTTTTTTTATTGGGAAGAGTATAATCCATAGTTGGTCCTATTTAAATTTGGGACCAAAATCCTTTTTAGGGTAGCTCCCCTACATGTACAGTGGGGTAATTTTTTTTTAATTATTGTCTACCTCATCGTGTGAGGTATTGTTAAATAGGTCCTTTAAAACGACTTAGTGGTTGCTAAGACTATTGTTCACTTACAGATTTTGATGCCGAGTTGTATATTACAATAATTAAAGACACATTGCCATGCTAACCCAAGTATTAAATGAGAATTCAGATATGAATGTATGGCACCAACTCAAAATATTAATTTGACTAAAGATTAAAAGATTATTTTTTACATATAGTTTTTTCGGTGGTTTAATTTTTATGCTAAAGGTTTTAATAAAATATAATCTCTTTGTTACTAACCCACTATGGATCCTTGTTATCCGAAAATAAATGATTATTATTATTATTATTTAATTCCAACCAAAATACAGAACTATGCATCTTTCCCAATATTATTGATCCATTTATTGTGCTCGAAAAATCAACAGTTGTACATTTTTTTAAGCTATTGCATTGATTTTATTGCGGGCTTTGAGCGCGGCGACCGAATCAAGAAATTCCGTAATGAAATAAACCTTACGACCCCTATATAAACCAGACACTATTTTTGGTCAACATTTTCATTTGTTGTTTTTCTATAATATGGCATTAGAAAATACATACAACCCCTTCTTCATCAGGCTTCTACTTCCCATATTTTTATGGCGATACGAAGTTCGCTGGGTCAGCTAGTATGTACTATAAATAAAAACGAGCGAGCCTTACAGTAGTCGCGTATGATGTGTTACATTTGAAACCTCACCTTATATTACAGGAAATAAAACCTACTACAAAAGGAACAAGCTACATAGAACATTATGTTCTGAAATCAAATCAAATAGCACGGTGCTTTCGCGACTTCCGTTTACACACTCCCGTCCCATTTCACGAAATCTCTCCCACAAATTGCAGGAAAGCGAGAGGAAAGATGTTACCCATCAATAATATATTGGAAGTACACATAGTTTCGAAATGGTTTTTTTTATCAATGTGTCTTTAATAATTTCTTTACAATGCTAGGTGAGACAGCGTGCTTTTTGGCAGCGTCCACGAGTGAGTTCGAGCCCGCGACTAGTTGAACCTTAACGTGCATGTATATGGTACGACTGTACGAAGCTCGCACGGATCGAGACGAGCTGCTCCGAAATCGGACGAATACGTAAGCAGCTGTTTGTGAGAAAGTATATAGGTGTATAGGTATCTATCATCTATGTACAACAGTGAATAGCTGTACGCGTAAAATTTGTGTATAAAGTGTTTTAAATATGAATAAACAAAGTGCTGCATAAAAAAAGAAAAATTATAATTGCATAAGTTGATAAAAATGCTATGGCGATAGCTTTACTGCGGCAGTCCCCGAGTGACACGCGTATTTTTTTATTTTATTGGTTCATTTGCATTCAGGCAACTAGGACCGTAAACCTTATATGAAATATAAAAGATAACTAGCAAACCAGTGAACCAAATGTTCACCAAAACCTGATTTAAAAAAAAAAAAATAATAATTAATTGAGGACTTCGGAGATTTTGTGTGGTTTCGTTTGAAATTCGTGATTTCTCGAAAACCGGAAGTGCTACGTTACTCAAATCCGGTTTGTAGTCTTATCAGACTATTCTTAACGTATAACTTTACGACTACTCTACTACGACTACGACTACTAAGACTACTCTTTATCTATCTCTTACGGTTTGGCCGCTGAAACAGCACCACAGACAGACGGACGGACGGACTTGTCTAATAGATAAGAGATTATTAGTAAATAATCTAAGTACCTACGTTAGTAAACATTCTAAATAACACGATATGTTGGCGACGTGTGGCGTGGCCTGGTGTCAGGTGCCGGTCTTTGAAACGCCGGAACGCCTCCCATGCTCACGCGCGTGTACCAACTCGCACTCTTTACATCGTGTGCCGTGGACTTGGAGAAATGCTAATGTGTGACCGGTGCCCAAAAAAGGGGACCACTCAGACTCGGTCAACTATCGGCCACACCTCAGTTTTGTGTAGTCCTAGAAAGGGTACCTTAACAACAATCTCTCCCTCTACCTAGAGGATCACTCTCTAATTCATGATCGTCAATACGATTTTAGACCGAAACGACCGACTGGTGATTTTCTAGCGTACTTGACTCGCATCTGGGGTGAGATTATCGACAGGCGGGGCGAGACGTTGGCTATCAGCCTCGACGGATGGTAGTAGTTCGCGGTTTATGTCAGTGAATGCCGGTGTTCCTCAGTGCTTCGTCCTATCCCTCACACTCTTTATGCTGCATATCAATGATTTAATTCTTCTAGGGAATATTCATTTTCATGCAGTACAGTGCATGCGGGATTGTTCGGTCACGCGGCAGCTGGATAGGTAGAAACGAAGGAGAAACGGGAGACTCGCTGTGACTTGGGACTTGAAGTCCAATCCAAAGAACTACATCGAAAGCGTGATGAAAAAACAGCTTCACACAAATTTGGGAGTCCTGAACAAAGGTGTAGCGTTTTTCACGCCTGAGCAACTGTGATTGTTGTAAAAGTTAGAAAGGCGATCTTCCTTGGAACATTGCTCGCACCTTTGCGATGGCTCCGTCAAGAACTTACTCGATGCTTTGGATAGGTTATAGCGGCGTGCGATCCGCATCATACACGATGAGGAGGTGACTAAACATCTCGAGCCTCTTCAATTCGACGCCGTGACGTGGCATCATCAAACGCGTTCTATAGTCTATACCACGGCGACTGTTCTGAGGAGTTATTCTCCCTCCTTATTCCACCTTCCCCTTTCCTTCTGAGGACCACGCGCCTACGTTGCCACCGACTTACTGTGACCACTATTCCAACGCGAACAAGGCAATTTAGTGACTCATTTTTTTCTCAAATGGAATGCTTGGCCTCTCGGGTTCCCTTCCTCATATAATTCGGGGTTCTTTAAAAGAAGCGTGGAGATGCAATGTGCAAGCCGGCGTCACTTAACATCAGGGGGCCAATCGCCTAACGGAAATGCTTTGGAAAACGCTAACGCTTACGATTTTATTTTGTTATTTCTAGCCGCCTGAGGTATTCAAATGCCTCGCGCTCTTTCTTTTTCTTTTGCATTGGTAATAACAATATTAAAAAAAATGAGCGTGAGGTATTCGAAAACCTCAGGCGGCTAGAAATAACAATATAAAATCGTAAGCGTTAGCGCTTCCCAAAGCATTTCCGTTAGGCGATTGGCCCCCAGGGGTAAACACATTTGTTGGACCTTCTTAAAAAAATCTTGCAATGAAATTGGTTAGACAATGTCATGAAGTCATTAAATCCTGATGAGTAGTACCATGTTCAACATCATAATAAATGTAAATTCAAAGCTATTTTGCGATAGGACCACTCGCTCATCGTATGCATGATGTAAAGATGACGTATTATTTAACTGGCTGATAATTATCGTATTGTTTTCCTGTGAGGCGGCGCTGGCGCATTGAATCATACACAGTTTGATAACGTTGAAAGTTAACGTTAATATGACATGTTCTCTGTATCTCAAAACCAATGCAATGTGTTTTTTTAATTTATTGAAATTGGTACTTTTACTTTTGTTCGATAGCTTAGTGTCTTCTTTATGTGGATTTCTCAATAAAAATCGGATATACAGATTGTAGAATATTATTCATAGTAAAATACAGATCTTGTTGAAATTATGTGCGTACGTTGTCTTTTTTGAATTCGAATTGCAAGAAGGAGAGTGAATCTATATAAATCAAAATGGGTGAGGGATGAATGTATGAATGGACGATGATGATGGACCGATTGCAGCTTCTCTCGTCGAAGGATAGATGGCGTTAACAACTTTGTTAATAAATCCATTTGCGAAATTAAGGTCGCCGAATATTCATTTATTCCTTGCATTTAATATATGTTACAGTCATCCAGCCAATTAGACGTCTGGGCTGATAGTTTATTGAATTAGAATCACAGGATGTTTGACTAGATAAATATTTTATTTTTTAAGCATTTAACTTCTAGTTTTACTACTTAAGAAAATTTTCCTACATAGCATTCCACGCGGTCCGGCAGGCGCTGCCTTGCAGTCTAAGAAATACTAGAGAAAATTCGACACGGACAATTAGGGCTGTAGTAGCATAATTATCAGTGCATCCGCCCAGATAGCGGGTTCGTGTCCCGTCTGCTGCTTGGACTGCGTGGTTTTTTTCTAACAAATATTTCTGTATTTTACAACTATAATGTATGTATATTGAAAGTCAATCCATTGGAGACGACTGACAAAACTCTTTTTTAACTACTCTCGGCGCCAAAAAATCGCACCTCCGCGAAAATAACTTTCAAGAATTGTTATCCCTTACCATGCGCATATGCTCGCGGGCAAGGTTCACTGACTGCTCACCGGTACGTCACAGAGATCCTGGAAGATCATGTGGTCCTCTATGCCGGTTTGTTGGCGAGGGGTTCACATTAATGCACGATAACGCTCGCGCTCACACTGCATTAATTGTGCGCGACTACCTTCAAGAGGTTGGGATCTCTATCATGCAGTGGCCAGCGAGAAGGCCAGACCTGAACCCAATAGAGCACCTCTGGGATCATTTGAAACACAAGGTTTGGTCTTATGATCCAGCTCCCACGACTCTCCTCGAAGGAGCTCGAAGAGGCCGTTATTGAGGAATGGGCCAGTATCCCTCAAAACAGCTCCTAAAATTGGTAAGATCCATGAGGGAGCGTATGGAAGCCGTCATCCGGGCAAGGGGGGTAACTTTAGGTTAGTTTTTTTGTGTAATTAATCTGTTTTTAATAAAGGCTTCATTAAGGATTTTTATTCATTTGTAAACTTTATTGCTTTTTGGACTGTTCCAATATGAAATAAAAAACAATGCAATTGTTTTTAAAGTTTATTTAATGGGCTTTCAAATGACACCAATATTATTGGGGGTAAATGCGTGCGTTTAAGAGTTATAATAACTCTTGAAAGTTATTTTTGCGGAGGTGCGTTTTGTTTGACGCCGATTGTAGTTCGACAAACTATTATAACTTATCCTTATCAGACTAAAATTATACCTATTTTTTTTTGTTTATGATCAGACGGAGTTTACGAATTGTGGCAGAATCATATGCCATCAAAGGCCTGTGCCTAGAACAGAATGCATTACCGGGCTCGACGAGCAGATATAAGCAAGCTGAGAGGGAATCTGAAATGGTATGATTTTTATTTCTCTTATAAAGTTTTTTGTGAGCTTACAAAACAGAAACTAGAGTTATTAAAGGACATTGGGCAAAAATGTATGGACGCTGCACCCACGTCCGCCACGGCTTAAACTACATTTGTTTGAAAGGTATTATAGTCGTGATCATCTGTGACAAAGCGCATCAAATTCCATCCCGGGGTCTTTAGTATTTTAAGTTAAATAGGTACAAGTACTATAACGAACGAACATTTATGAAACAAGGGAATTAATTTAGTTAGTTCGACCCTACGTTCGGCTCAGGTATTATGGGAGTACTTTACAAGGTGCAAGGGTGTCCCCTTATGTCATTCTACCGCGCTAGAGTAAATCCAAAAATTTCCGCATGGATTGGGGTTTTCGTTATAGTAAATTGTCTTTGTAATTATTGTAAATTGAAAACATGATTCTAGTTCATCTATACTAATTGACAAAACCGATAATCGTGTTCCAATGTCCAAAGCATGTTAGATAAAAATCAGTCAAGTGATAGGGAGCGTACAATCACAACGAAGAAAGAACAGTCGACTATTTGCAACTGCAAGTCCTTCAACCCCCGTAAACCGTTTTCAGGTGGCTCAGTAAGTGCAAGCGGAGGATGGTAGGCAGGCTTTGTCGTATATCTGGTTGTATTGTACGATATGGCATAATATCACTAAAAATATAAAATGGAGGTACTATAAAAGGAATTTATTTAGCTACTTAAATATGCCCACGTGTCATATCTACCTACTGCGATCTAAGAAAACATTGTAGAACGCAATAAAGTATTGATTGATTGATTGATCTTTTGACAACCAGGATATTTTTTTACGGTGTCATAACTTTTGACTACCAGGATATTTTTCTACGGTGTCATAATAAAAAATGCTAGTTTTTTAGATCTATCGATTCATACTAATTACATTGTTGGCGGAGCTGGGTGTGTTTTGCCCATTGTCCTTTGTATCTGTACATTTCACACAAAGCTTATGGTACTTGCAGCAGTCATGTATATTATACAAGATGGTGGTAAAAATTGTGAACCTAATAAAATACGAAGGTTTAGGGTGTTGATTGCAGTAAAAATTCTGATTATTGCATCCAACTTGAGTTCCTTAAAAGTTAAAAATAATTAATTTTTAAATAAAACAAGTTTCATTGGTTTAGATCAGAGGTTCCCAACGTTTTATTGGTCAGGGACCACTTTTACATTATTATTTTTTTGGCACGGACCACTATTTAGACACTAAATAATTAAATTTTAGTGTAATAAAAATAAACTGTAATAATCAAACTGAAACTTTAATTAAAAATCTAATATTAAATAAAAAGAAATAATAATATTTTTAGTGGGCGCGCCCGCTAAATTAAATTTTAGTGTAATAAAAATAAGCTGTAATAATCAAACTGAAACTTTAATTGAAAATCTAATATAAAATTAAATAAAAAGAAATAATAACATTTTTAGTGGGCGCGCCCGCTAAATTCAAATTTATTCGCGGACCATATTTTGGCTTCTGCGGACCACTGGTTGGGAACCAATGGTTTAGATGCACTGATTTTATTTATTTATTGACGTTTCGCATCCTTTGCAGGAATGCGACATCGGAATAATGATTTTTTATTTACTTTTTCGAGCTACCTTCGAAATTAGTGCATCTAACCCGTTGAAACTTTTTCTATTAAATGAGTAATGTGCGTGAAAACATAAGAAACAATTTTTTTTTAAGAATATTCATCAAAGATCACAGCCATCTAACCATTGCGCTATCGAGCTCCCCAAAAACATATAACTTTGTTGCCTATAAACACATAAACTTAATAGTTAATTTATTAAAGTACAGGAGGGTCGATTGCATTGCACGCAAGTGTAATAAAAATTCAATCACGTTTATATAAAAAATGCAAACTAAATTGGGTAAACTTTGTTATATTATGTCGGATGTATTTATCTTAATTAAATATTGAATTTGTTAATATTAATTTTATTACCAAGGTGATCAAGTTGAGGTAATAACTTAAATGAGCTGAAGTAAATTGCGTCACTATGCTGTGATGTAACCGCAGGTGTTGTAGGGTCAGGCTAGTTAGCGACAGACTTACTAATTACTATTAAATTATTGCAGAGGTTAAAATTACGTATGTCCCGCTATAACACTGACGCACTAAGGTTTTCTTATCATAATTACGATTTAGTTAATTCTGCTTTTCTACAGAACAATTTGTAGAACTAAATGAATTAAATATGATTGTGTAGGGTAATGAAAAATTGCTATCGGATAATATAATAGGGATGATGACTAATTTTTTTTTCTTCGTTTATCAGGTATTAAATTAATTATTATTAAAAAGTATTGGACACGTATTTTTTCTTTTTTCACATAATATAAACATTGCAGAGATATATTTATTGATTTGAAAAGTCGCATGACGTCACGTTTGAGTACACTTATAAGTGAAAATTCACTCAAAAGTGACGTCACGAGCCCCTACTCCCAAACTTTGACGCGCTATAACTTTGTCATTTTTTGGTTGATTGCCCAAAGAAAAAATATGTGTCCATTATTTTTTGATCATCTAACTGACGGACTAAATAGAATTTCGTTTACTGCACCCCGTCATCACCCCTATTGTTGGATTCCAACTTAGAATTTAATTAAAATGAATATTTTGTTTTTATATTTTAATTGTTATTTTATAAAATGCCAAGAAACTGTTTTTTTTTGTCTATAAAATATCATAAATATACGAGGCAGTGATTGCAATGAAACATTTATCATTAATATAAAGATGCAATCGGCGAACGGTAAAAAAACTCTCTTGTAGTTTATTTTTGTAGTAGATTTTGATTTGTATTAAGATTTGTTAGTTTAATTCAAACATTCAGTTGTATAATTTCGTTGTAGACAGATTGACCGATAATAATTTACAGTACATAATTAACAGCGCGCGTTGAATGTGTGTTCAGCAACGATATTAAAATACCTAAATACACTACGAAAACCCAAAATTTGTCCCAATAAAGAAGTGCTTAAATACAACTCAAACACTTCTTGGTTCACAGTCACTGCTGCGGGCTGTTGAAAAGTCAATGTCGCAGAGCTATGTGAAAGAATGAGAATAAATTCTTATACTACGTAATGTGTACGTTTTTTGATGTCAATTTAAATCAATGTTTGTTAATTTAAAGCATTTGAAGCAAATTTTCTATGTAATAACAATAAACTTATTTAATAGAAAATATTTGTAATTATCAAATCAATAGTCTGATATGTAACCGTCACTTTCCCTCGCGCTTATGCCCACTGTATTGCTAACAGCACATCCAGAATCTATCCATCTATATATATAAAACACAAAGGTGACTGACGGACATAGTGATCTATCAACGCATAGCCCAAACCACTGGACGGATCGGGCTGAAATTTGGCATGCAGGTAGATGTTATGACGTAGGCATCCGCTAAGAAAGGATTTTGATCAATTCTACCCCCAAGGGGATAAAATAGGGAATGAAAGTTTGTATACAACTTTGTCTATTTTAAACCGATCGGGCTGAGACTTTGCATGCAGGTATAAGAAGAATCATAGATGAATGTCATTGTGCATAATACAAGCCTGAGAACAAAAACTGTAGTCTACACTTCAGCTCTACACCGGAGCGAAGCGAGGGCGGGTCGCTAGTTAAGATATTAAACAAAACAAATAAATTCTATATTTGTTTCTTCGATTTTCACGCACACCACTCATTAAATAAAACAATTTTCAACAGTATAGATGCACTGATTTATTTATTTATGACGTGTCACATCAGAATTCTGACGACGCAGTCAGAAAAGGATGCGAAATAAATAAATAAATAATAAAAGGATAAATAAATCAGTGCATCTATACTGTTGAAACTTGTTTTATTTAATAAATTCTATATTCGTTCGCCTACAAGTCGTATCTTACGAGTGTGCATTAAAGGAAGATATTTCGGCTACGATTTTGGTCGTGATGTTGTGTCTAGGGTTTTAAACATCGTTGGTGTTGTGAGTTGCTTCGTTTCAAGAAGCGCAGTGTACATTTTTTATTTAAATCACTGTGTGCTGCTGGTCTCCCTCTTGCTATTTTTCTTTTGACGACCTCCGTGGAACGTGGGGTTCTATGGTGTCGCCTGCTTAAGAGGTCCCGGGTTCGAATCCCGGTGGGGGCCGATGTTTGTTTATACTCCAGCCATGGATGTTTAATATGTATTTCTATATACATATATATGTACTGTATATGTATTCTATCCGTTACCCTAGTATCTCATAACACAAGCCTTACAGTGCTTATTTTGGAACTGAGCTAATTGGTGGGAGTGTTGGAAATATTGATATTATTTATAATTATGTATATCGGCGACAGATCCGCAGCTTCGAGCTGGCTTCGGAGCTGACGCTGCTGTACCTGCAGCGCGCGCAGTCGGCGGCCCGCGCCGGCCCCACGCTGGAGACCGCGTTACAGCGCGCGCCCATACTGCACATGCGCGCCGGCAGCCTCGCGCGAGCCATCGCCCGGTGACTACACTACACTACACTACACTACACTACACTACACTACACTACACACACATGCCCCCTCAGGTGCCACTGACGCCGGCCCCACGCTGGAGACCGCGTTACAGCGCGCGCCCATACTGCACATGCGCGCCGGCAGCCTCGCGCGAGCCATCGCCCGGTGACTACACTACACTACACTACACTACACTACACTACACTACACTACACACACATGCCCCCTCAGGTGCCACTGACGCCGGCCCCACGCTGGAGACCGCGTTACAGCGCGCGCCCATACTGCACATGCGCGCCGGCAGCCTCGCGCGAGCCATCGCCCGGTGACTACACTACACTACACTACACTACACTACACTACACACACATCCCCCCTCAGGTGCCACTGACGCCGGCCCCACGCTGGAGACCGCGTTACAGCGCGCGCCCATACTGCACATGCGCGCCGGCAGCCTCGCGCGAGCCATCGCCCGGTGACTACACTACACTACACTACACTACACTACACTACACACACATCCCCCCTCAGGTGCCACTGACGCCGGCCCCACGCTGGAGACCGCGTTACAGCGCGCGCCCATACTGCACATGCGCGCCGGCAGCCTCGCGCGAGCCATCGCCCGGTGACTACACTACACTACACTACACTACACTACACTACACACACATGCCCCCTCAGGTGCCACTGACGCCGGCCCCACGCTGGAGACCGCGTTACAGCGCGCGCCCATACTGCACATGCGCGCCGGCAGCCTCGCGCGAGCCATCGCCCGGTGACTACACTACACTACACTACACTACACTACACTACACACACATGCCCCCTCAGGTGCCACTGACGCCGGCCCCACGCTGGAGACCGCGTTACAGCGCGCGCCCATACTGCACATGCGCGCCGGCAGCCTCGCGCGAGCCATCGCCCGGTGACTACACTACACTACACTACACTACACTACACTACACACACATCCCCCCTCAGGTGCCACTGACGCCGGCCCCACGCTGGAGACCGCGTTACAGCGCGCGCCCATACTGCACATGCGCGCCGGCAGCCTCGCGCGAGCCATCGCCCGGTGACTACACTACACTACACTACACTACACTACACTACACTACACACACATCCCCCCTCAGGTGCCACTGACGCCGGCCCCACGCTGGAGACCGCGTTACAGCGCGCGCCCATACTGCACATGCGCGCCGGCAGCCTCGCGCGAGCCATCGCCCGGTGACTACACTACACTACACTACACTACACTACACTACACTACACACACATGCCCCCTCAGGTGCCACTGACGCCGGCCCCACGCTGGAGACCGCGTTACAGCGCGCGCCCATACTGCACATGCGCGCCGGCAGCCTCGCGCGAGCCATCGCCCGGTGACTACACTACACTACACTACACTACACTACACTACACTACACTACACACACATGCCCCCTCAGGTGCCACTGACGCCGGCCCCACGCTGGAGACCGCGTTACAGCGCGCGCCCATACTGCACATGCGCGCCGGCAGCCTCGCGCGAGCCATCGCCCGGTGACTACACTACACTACACTACACTACACTACACTACACTACACTACACACACATGCCCCCTCAGGTGCCACTGACGCCGGCCCCACGCTGGAGACCGCGTTACAGCGCGCGCCCATACTGCACATGCGCGCCGGCAGCCTCGCGCGAGCCATCGCCCGGTGACTACACTACACTACACTACACTACACTACACTACACTACACTACACACACATGCCCCCTCAGGTGCCACTGACGCCGGCCCCACGCTGGAGACCGCGTTACAGCGCGCGCCCATACTGCACATGCGCGCCGGCAGCCTCGCGCGAGCCATCGCCCGGTGACTACACTACACTACACTACACTACACTACACTACACTACACTACACACACATGCCCCCTCAGGTGCCACTGACGCCGGCCCCACGCTGGAGACCGCGTTACAGCGCGCGCCCATACTGCACATGCGCGCCGGCAGCCTCGCGCGAGCCATCGCCCGGTGACTACACTACACTACACTACACTACACTACACTACACTACACTACACACACATGCCCCCTCAGGTGCCACTGACGCCGGCCCCACGCTGGAGACCGCGTTACAGCGCGCGCCCATACTGCACATGCGCGCCGGCAGCCTCGCGCGAGCCATCGCCCGGTGACTACACTACACTACACTACACTACTACACTACACTACACTACACACACATGCCCCCTCAGGTGCCACTGACGCCGGCCCCACGCTGGAGACCGCGTTACAGCGCGCGCCCATACTGCACATGCGCGCCGGCAGCCTCGCGCGAGCCATCGCCCGGTGACTACACTACACTACACTACACTACACTACACTACACTACACTACACACACATGCCCCCCTCAGGTGCCACTGACGCCGGCCCCACGCTGGAGACCGCGTTACAGCGCGCGCCCATACTGCACATGCGCGCCGGCAGCCTCGCGCGAGCCATCGCCCGGTGACTACACTACACTACACTACACTACACTACACTACACTACACTACACACACATGCCCCCTCAGGTGCCACTGACGCCGGCCCCACGCTGGAGACCGCGTTACAGCGCGCGCCCATACTGCACATGCGCGCCGGCAGCCTCGCGCGAGCCATCGCCCGGTGACTACACTACACTACACTACACTACACTACACTACACTACACTACACACACATCCCCCCTCAGGTGCCACTGACGCCGGCCCCACGCTGGAGACCGCGTTACAGCGCGCGCCCATACTGCACATGCGCGCCGGCAGCCTCGCGCGAGCCATCGCCCGGTGACTACACTACACTACACTACACTACACTACACACACACATGCCCCCTCAGGTGCCACTGACGCCGGCCCCACGCTGGAGACCGCGTTACAGCGCGCGCCCATACTGCACATGCGCGCCGGCAGCCTCGCGCGAGCCATCGCCCGGTGACTACACTACACTACACTACACTACACTACACTACACTACACACACATGCCCCCTCAGGTGCCACTGACGCCGGCCCCACGCTGGAGACCGCGTTACAGCGCGCGCCCATACTGCACATGCGCGCCGGCAGCCTCGCGCGAGCCATCGCCCGGTGACTACACTACACTACACTACACTACACTACACTACACTACACACACATGCCCCCCTCAGGTGCCACTGACGCCGGCCCCACGCTGGAGACCGCGTTACAGCGCGCGCCCATACTGCACATGCGCGCCGGCAGCCTCGCGCGAGCCATCGCCCGGTGACTACACTACACTACACTACACTACACTACACTACACTACACTACACACACATCCCCCTCAGGTGCCACTGACGCCGGCCCCACGCTGGAGACCGCGTTACAGCGCGCGCCCATACTGCACATGCGCGCCGGCAGCCTCGCGCGAGCCATCGCCCGGTGACTACACTACACTACACTACACTACACTACACTACACTACACTACACACATGCCCCCTCAGGTGCCACTGACGCCGGCCCCACGCTGGAGACCGCGTTACAGCGCGCGCCCATACTGCACATGCGCGCCGGCAGCCTCGCGCGAGCCATCGCCCGGTGACTACACTACACTACACTACACTACACTACACTACACACACATCCCCCTCAGGTGCCACTGACGCCGGCCCCACGCTGGAGACCGCGTTACAGCGCGCGCCCATACTGCACATGCGCGCCGGCAGCCTCGCGCGAGCCATCGCCCGGTGACTACACTACACTACACTACACTACACTACACTACACACACATGCCCCCCTCAGGTGCCACTGACGCCGGCCCCACGCTGGAGACCGCGTTACAGCGCGCGCCCATACTGCACATGCGCGCCGGCAGCCTCGCGCGAGCCATCGCCCGGTGACTACACTACACTACACTACACTACACTACACTACACTACACACACATGCCCCCCTCAGGTGCCACTGACGCCGGCCCCACGCTGGAGACCGCGTTACAGCGCGCGCCCATACTGCACATGCGCGCCGGCAGCCTCGCGCGAGCCATCGCCCGGTGACTACACTACACTACACTACACTACACTACACTACACTACACACACATCCCCCCTCAGGTGCCACTGACGCCGGCCCCACGCTGGAGACCGCGTTACAGCGCGCGCCCATACTGCACATGCGCGCCGGCAGCCTCGCGCGAGCCATCGCCCGGTGACTACACTACACTACACTACACTACACTACACTACACACACATCCCCCCTCAGGTGCCACTGACGCCGGCCCCACGCTGGAGACCGCGTTACAGCGCGCGCCCATACTGCACATGCGCGCCGGCAGCCTCGCGCGAGCCATCGCCCGGTGACTACACTACACTACACTACACTACACTACACTACACACACATCCCCCCTCAGGTGCCACTGACGCCGGCCCCACGCTGGAGACCGCGTTACAGCGCGCGCCCATACTGCACATGCGCGCCGGCAGCCTCGCGCGAGCCATCGCCCGGTGACTACACTACACTACACTACACTACACTACACTACACACACATGCCCCCTCAGGTGCCACTGACGCCGGCCCCACGCTGGAGACCGCGTTACAGCGCGCGCCCATACTGCACATGCGCGCCGGCAGCCTCGCGCGAGCCATCGCCCGGTGACTACACTACACTACACTACACTACACTACACTACACTACACACACCTCCCCCTCAGGTGCCACTGACGCCGGCCCCACGCTGGAGACCGCGTTACAGCGCGCGCCCATACTGCACATGCGCGCCGGCAGCCTCGCGCGAGCCATCGCCCGGTGACTACACTACACTACACTACACTACACTACACTACACTACACACACATGCCCCCTCAGGTGCCACTGACGCCGGCCCCACGCTGGAGACCGCGTTACAGCGCGCGCCCATACTGCACATGCGCGCCGGCAGCCTCGCGCGAGCCATCGCCCGGTGACTACACTACACTACACTACACTACACTACACTACACTACCTACACACACATCCCCCCTCAGGTGCCACTGACGCCGGCCCCACGCTGGAGACCGCGTTACAGCGCGCGCCCATACTGCACATGCGCGCCGGCAGCCTCGCGCGAGCCATCGCCCGGTGACTACACTACACTACACTACACTACACTACACTACACTACACTACACTACACACACATGCCCCCTCAGGTGCCACTGACGCCGGCCCCACGCTGGAGACCGCGTTACAGCGCGCGCCCATACTGCACATGCGCGCCGGCAGCCTCGCGCGAGCCATCGCCCGGTGACTACACTACACTACACTACACTACACTACACTACACACACATCCCCCCTCAGGTGCCACTGACGCCGGCCCCACGCTGGAGACCGCGTTACAGCGCGCGCCCATACTGCACATGCGCGCCGGCAGCCTCGCGCGAGCCATCGCCCGGTGACTACACTACACTACACTACACTACACTACACTACACACACATCCCCCCTCAGGTGCCACTGACGCCGGCCCCACGCTGGAGACCGCGTTACAGCGCGCGCCCATACTGCACATGCGCGCCGGCAGCCTCGCGCGAGCCATCGCCCGGTGACTACACTACACTACACTACACTACACACACATCCCCCCTCAGGTGCCACTGACGCCGGCCCCACGCTGGAGCCCGCGTTACAGCGCGCGCCCATACTGCACATGCGCGCCGGCAGCCTCGCGCGAGCCATCGCCCGGTGACTACACTACACTACACTACACTACACTACACTACACACACATCCCCCCTCAGGTGCCACTGACGCCGGCCCCACGCTGGAGACCGCGTTACAGCGCGCGCCCATACTGCACATGCGCGCCGGCAGCCTCGCGCGAGCCATCGCCCGGTGACTACACTACACTACACTACACTACACTACACTACACTACACACACATGCCCCCTCAGGTGCCACTGACGCCGGCCCCACGCTGGAGACCGCGTTACAGCGCGCGCCCATACTGCACATGCGCGCCGGCAGCCTCGCGCGAGCCATCGCCCGGTGACTACACTACACTACACTACACTACACTACACTACACTACACACACATCCCCCCTCAGGTGCCACTGACGCCGGCCCCACGCTGGAGACCGCGTTACAGCGCGCGCCCATACTGCACATGCGCGCCGGCAGCCTCGCGCGAGCCATCGCCCGGTGACTACACTACACTACACTACACTACACTACACTACACACACATCCCCCCTCAGGTGCCACTGACGCCGGCCCCACGCTGGAGACCGCGTTACAGCGCGCGCCCATACTGCACATGCGCGCCGGCAGCCTCGCGCGAGCCATCGCCCGGTGACTACACTACACTACACTACACTACACTACACTACACTACACACACATGCCCCCTCAGGTGCCACTGACGCCGGCCCCACGCTGGAGACCGCGTTACAGCGCGCGCCCATACTGCACATGCGCGCCGGCAGCCTCGCGCGAGCCATCGCCCGGTGACTACACTACACTACACTACACTACACTACACTACACTACACACACATGCCCCCTCAGGTGCCACTGACGCCGGCCCCACGCTGGAGACCGCGTTACAGCGCGCGCCCATACTGCACATGCGCGCCGGCAGCCTCGCGCGAGCCATCGCCCGGTGACTACACTACACTACACTACACTACACTACACTACACACACATCCCCCCTCAGGTGCCACTGACGCCGGCCCCACGCTGGAGACCGCGTTACAGCGCGCGCCCATACTGCACATGCGCGCCGGCAGCCTCGCGCGAGCCATCGCCCGGTGACTACACTACACTACACTACACTACACTACACTATACTACACTACACACACATCCTCCTCAGGTTCCACTGACGCTGCTATTCCATCCATAGGGCAGACCTGTGCTCCAGAAGTGGATACAACAGGCTGATGATGATGATAAACGTTATTTCTTTGACGAACTCCGTGGCTGAGTTGTATGTACGCCGGGTTTCAAGGTGGCCTCCTACTGAAGAGGTCTCGGGTTCGAATCCCGGTTGGGGGCAGATGTTTGTGTGATGAATATGAGCATTTGTACTCCATTCATGGATGTTTAATATGTATTTCTATATAAATATACTTAAATATGTATCAGTATATGTATTCTATCCGTTACCCTAGTGGCCCATAACACAAGCCTACAGTGCTTACTTTAGAGCTGAGCTAATAGGGTCAAATACAATAGTACTACAGTATTAAAAATAAAGTGCCAATTGTTAGCATCTGTGTTTAGAATGAATATTGGCAGAGGTTTTTACTATTTTCACAAAAAAGAAATACTAAAAACCCACGAAAAAGATAATAGTTTTCTTAGTGACTAGCATTGGCGGAGCCTAAAATGACGTCACACGCAAGTAAACTTCCGGTTGACATTACCTTGTATCGTTTGACGTTTTAATAACAGTCGTGTGACGTCACTCACTAGTAGGACGTCATATTGTCCAGAAAAACGTTTTCGCGGCAACTTGAAAATGGAGTTTTTGATTTGGTTATTTTTACTGAAATACACAACAGAATGATGAATATCTTTTTACGGTCACCATAAACATTAGTCAATAACGTGAGATCGTTTTCTAAAACTTATGAAATACCCTATTGATGCGAGTGTTTGAAACATTTATTTATTTATTGCTTAAACCTAAAGAAGAGTTTTACTAGAAAAAATTCCTCGCATACCAGGCAGCAGACGGGACTTCTTTTCTAGTAAAACTTTTCTTTACGTTTAAACATCTAGCAGTTAAATGCTTAAAAAAACATATTTATTTAATGCTGTCATTTTGAACACGCGAGTTGAACGTTAAATTTGAGTGTGGTTGTGTCAGTTATATCAAAGAAAACTGAATTTCGTAGACAAAACACGTCTATAAATTGTTCCCCTATTGTGTCGTTCCCGAGCATGACGCTGGCCGTTTGGTTCCTCAGGTATCGCGAGATGCTGTCGGCTGTAGAATCACCGTCGACGCAGGCGCTGCGGCTCACGCTGGCCAGACAACTAGCTGAAGTATTGAAACGGGGAGTTACGGGACAGGTATGGTATACAGTGTTTGTTCGGGCTGCCCCGATAAATGATAAGAATGGTAATGGTAAAAATGATATATTTGGGAAAAATACTAAAAATAAACTATTTGCTAATTGACAATGGTATGAGTACGCGCGTTATGGTAGCTTGTTGATTGCGAACTAACTTTTAAAATAATTTTGTGCAATAATGTAAAATGAGGTCAAGTTATTAAATGTGCTGATGCGGGAAAAATGCATTGTACGAAGCTAGCTCGTACATATTCCCGGGCGGGAGAATAGGGAGTGATAAGGTGATGGTAATGATTGATGAGTGATAATATGATTTTCACTAAAAACTAACAAGATATTGACAATCTTTCACTTAGAACTATTAACAAAGTATATAAAGAATATATTTACTTAGATCTAATGAAAGGAAAGGTATTAAGGACGGAATGGTTAGTGCGTGTGCATCTTTAGTCTAAATACTAGAAAAACAGTTTAGTTTGAAATATGAAAAACCGATCGAAGCACAGGCGAAGTGCTTTTATTTTGTTTTGATAACCGTGCACGTATAATTGGAATTGGAACACTACCAACGGCTCTTGACATTAGAGGTCATCCATAAATTACGATGATTTTCGCCACTCCCCCCGTCCTTGTCACAGCTGGTCACATTTGAAGGACTCCCCCCTCCCTAGTGTGACGTCACATATTTTGCAAATTTACGTTTGGAAATTATTGAATGAAAACAGCGGCTCGAAATTCTGTTTTAATCCCATTTAAATTATTTTTTAATAATATTAATATTAAATCAAACAACTAATTAATTATATTAATTAAAGAAATTACCAAACAAAAATCGATTGACTATGTTATTTAAGGAAATCAACAAAACAAAATATACTAATTTTGAGTCCATTGATAATTTTGAGGATTGAATTCCATGATTCAACAAATGCGTCATTTAGATCGTTTTGACTGGTGTTACGCTTGTTTGAGACTTTCTTTTTTTACAATATACCCGAGATTTTCTATCGGGCCGGACTATTTGCTCGCCAGTCTAAAACGGATATACGATTTTCGCTAAGAAAACATTTGACGCTATTGGCCGTGTGTTTAGGGTCATTGTCATGCTGAAAGATCCAGGTTTCAGGCAAATGATCGTCCGAGTAGGGAATCATTGTGTGCTCTAAGATATTTTTGTATTGATCCATTGTACCTTCAATCTTCCGAACGGGTCTTACTCCGCATCCGGAAAAACACCCCCATTCTTCCATCCTTGTGTATTTATAATTAAAAGCATTGTTTACAGGACGTCTAACATAGCGCTTTCCATCGGAATTTACCATATTTATTTTTGTTTTATCTGAAAATAATTGTTTTTTTATTCTCTTACCGTCCAATGGAGAAATATACGCAAAGCTTGACATAGATGGCGTTGCAAACGCTTGACCCAAACCACAGCCAAATTGGCGCTGTCAAATTATAAACGTGTTTTTTGTCGATAAAAATATTAATTAATTGGTGAAAAATTAATCATCAACATGGTCTGTAATACAGCTGAAAACAGAGGTGATAAGGAGAGGAGCATCTGTGCAAGGCAGAAAAGCTGATCTAGTAGAAAGGTATTCTTTCTATTATTATGCTAGAATGTTCATTCTCGGTACATAGATGCATTTTCCATGGTTATTTTAATATAGTTCATGGATCTGAGTAACTTTTAGCAGGCTCATTAGTCAAATCTATCTTATTTTTGCATCAGTCAGACATCTCATAGAGTTAGGTTACCTCTGGCTAAAATGGGAGGTATAACATTGGGGTTTTTTAAAGACTTGAGGCATATGACCCCAATTTTAATTTTGGTGCAGTTTTTTCTTATCATAATGAAGACATCCAGATGTAATTACCTGCCCCAGATACATACAATGATGGAAACAGCAGCTCAGTCCCCCTCCCCCCTCCCCGCAACATATAAAATTATATTTTAGTCGGTAAGCATGCAGTTTTTTCACAACAACCAGGAACTGCACAACTCGGCATTTGTATGTTGTTTAATAAAAAGATGAATATAAGCTAAATGGTATGTATTTGATCGAAGTTTTGGGTCAAGCGATTACAGCGCCCCTAGTGGCCAAATTTTGCAGATTTTTTATCCATTAACATATTTTTTAGGGAATAATAATCGCTTCTCTCGGTGTTGCTTGGTAAGAAGCGGTACCTTTCGAGCGATTCTACCCAACAATTAAGCTTCCACTAATCTTCGACGTATCAGTCTTGACGAGATGTTTCTCGGGTCATCAGGCGAAAAAAACTTTATTTTTAATCTGGTTGGTGTAGATTTTATAGGTCAGAGGAACTGAATAAAATACGGAATCACAGTGACGAATGATACTTATATTCTGTGAAATATATTTTTACTAGGAAGCTGATACGACTGACTCCTAGCACAGCAGAATACAAAGTGAAGCAAGTTTATAAGTGAACTGAATGCGTGAATGATCGAATGAGTTGGGGTTGAACGAACGAATGAAGTTTTTGAGTTAAGATTGAATGAACAAGTATACTTTGCCATTACCTAGTCATGTTACTTTCTTTTTATTACAAAAGGAATACAAATTATAATATATATAGATTAATTTTTGCCAATTTAAATTCAATATAAATTCAACAGTTGGAGCCTTTACTTAGGTATTTTCTAGGTATATGTACATTTATGCGATATTTCACCTTATTGTATTGGAAAGTTTCTAAGAAAAAGATTCTATGGTGGGTCACTGGAATCAAATGCTAGACTGATAGTACTTTGTTTGTTGTCAGGTGTACAAAGCACCGGAGAGGCCGGCCATGGTGGCCACAAATACCCTTAGTCGGCGGAGAGATGAATACGTATCGGAGGGGCCATGGAAACCCAATAAGTATGCCGGTATCAACCAGGTAAGATATAATCACACACAAACATAAGATCTCATCATTATGAGACTCTAGACTAAGCTATCATCGTTTCTAAATAGACTAGATCTCAAACTAAACTAAAATAGACTAGATCTTTGCAAAAAATAGTAAAAAAAAAAAAATGTGTGCGTGTACTAGTGTACACACGTAAGAAGTGAAACTTCTTTAAGGCCTTATTTTTTTCGAAAAATGATCTACATGCAACTTTCCAGAAATATATATATAGGCGTACGCTAAGATTTTTCAAAAACTCACCCACTAAAGGGGTATAACTACACCTTACCTTACCTTACCTTACCTTACCTTACCTTACCTTACCTTACCTTACCTTAATAATAATAAAAGGCATCGCCAATCAAGTAACAACTGAAGAATTAAGCTCCATAATAATTAAACAAAACTCACTCATATCAGAAGTCACTGATAACACTGCAGATTTAGTTTTCAAATTCAAGAGGAACAATAGAAACAAACACCTGTACAACGCCGTTTTAATGACCACTCCAGCACTATGGAAAGTATTTACAAAAACAGAAAGAATTAATCTGGATCATCAAAGACTAATTGTCGAAGACTATGTCCCACTGATGCAGTGCTACGGTTGCCTGCAATATGGGCACACTCGTAAGCACTGCACCAATGGCAAACTGGCTTGCTCACACTGCTCATCCACACAACACACATATAATGATTGCCCCAATAAAAACAACAACGATAAAAACTGCTGCATAAACTGTCACGCTCACAACAATAAATACAAACTCAATCTACCAACCAGTCACTCAGCTACGTCTTTTAACTGTCCCAGAAAACAAGCTATGATCAGTAACATACGAAATAAAATTAACTATGGCTAATAACATAACATCACACAGTACATTAAACAACAACAACACTAACCAACTGAACTGTTTACAAATTAACCTAGGACGCGGCAGAAATGCTCATCAAGAACTCCTTTCTCATAATAAAGATAACACATTAGATATAATTTTCATTACAGAACCATTTACAGGGAATGGAACAATCATTAAAAGCATTCAGGATTACACTATATTTCAAACACCAAAAAATAATAACAAGGTTAAATCAGCAATAGTCATTAAGAACAATAAATTTAGCGCGATTAGCATGAACCCATACTCCGACCCAAACATATCCATCGTTCAACTTAGAGATTCTACTGGCAAAAAAATGTTCTTAATATCAGTCTATATTGAACCCAAGCTCGACCCTAATAAAACATTATCTAAACTCAAATCATTCCTTTCAGACTTTCCTAGTTCCACGCACATTATTACAGGAGATTTTAACGCTTGGCACAAAACATGGGGATCAGAACGAAATAGCAGCCGAGGAGAAGAAGTGTCACAAATGATTTTAGACTATAATCTTAATATATGTAACTCTGGTAATGAACCCACATACTTCAATACCATAAATAACACCACTCGAAGCTCAATCATAGACATCACCCTTATTTCTGATAGCTACAATACTACAATAGATAATTGGAAAGTTAACCCGGAAATAATAACCGAGTCGGATCACAATGCAATTACTTTTGAAATAAAATTAGGTCGAACAAAACTAACTAGGTCATGCAAAACGTCTACATGGAAATATACAATACAATACAATACAATACAAAAACTCTTTATTGTACACCACAAAAAAAGCATTGAACATTAAGTACAAAACCATCTGGTACACGTGATGCAATGGGCGGCCTTATCGCTTAAAGCGATCTCTTCCAGGCAACCTTTGGATGGAGAGGATTAGAAGGAAGTGGGAGAGACGGCGGTGTAAATCGCTGGTAAACTATATAATATATTAGCATATACATACATACACCATACACATATAAGATATATATATATATATATATATATACATACATACAATAAGTATAAATACAAATACATACATTGATCCAGTCCAGTTGGGAGGCAGTTGTAAGCACATCAGATATTAAAATGTATTACAATGTCAGAAAATAGGAATTCAGATGGTTTTTAAATGTAACAATAGTTTCCGCACGTCTTATTGAAACCGGAAGAGAATTCCATAGATGTACAGCTTGCACTGCAAACGAACGATGGAAAAAAGTTGTGCCGTGTACGGGGGTCATAAGAGCAAGATTTTCTGATGATCTTAAAGATAACGTGTTAGAATTATGCAGGAAATTAAAACTTTCCTTGAGATAGCGCGGGGACTTGGGATTGAACAATATGTTGTAAAGAAGAGAAAGGATATGAGTATTCCGGCGAAGGCGAATAGGTAGCCACTTGAGCTGTGAACGAAATTGAGAAACATGATCATATTTGCGCAAGCCAAATATGAAACGGATACAAAAATTTTGAAGTCGCTCAAGTTTGTTAAGCTGGTCCTCCGTGAGATCTAGATAGCAGACGTCAGCATAATCAAGTATAGGAAGCAATAAAGACTGTGCTAAGGCAATTTTGGTGGTAATGGGCAGAAAATTACGGAGTCTCCTAAGTGATGCTGCTGAAGCATACAATTTGCGACTGACCACTTGCATCTGCGGACCCCAACTCATACAGTTGTCAAACGTTAATCCTAGGTTTTTTACCGATGTGCTAAAAGGGATTAGATTTCCAGCAATTTCGATGTTGGGTAGTGACTGCCAGTCCACTCTATCTAACATTCTAGAGCTACCAATTACTATGCTAGTTGTTTTGGAGGGATTTATTTCCAACCCAAAAGATTTGCTCCACTCAGAAATCACATGTAGATCACTGTTTGTAGCCTGCACTGCATCACCAAGTTGACCAAGAGGAGCTTGGCGATAGATTTGTAAGTCATCTGCATATAGGTGGTAGGAAGAAGAAATATTGTTTGAAACGGAGTTAATTAATACAGCGAAAAGAAGAGGAGATAAAACGCCGCCCTGGGGAACGCCAGCAGTCGTGTCGCTCCATGAAGAAAATTTCTCCTCAAGGCGAACGCGCTGCCTGCGCCCATGCAGATAACTGCGAAACCACTCAATCACCGATGGAGATACGTTAAGTGAGCGCAGCAATGCCAAAAGAACCTCAAAGTCGACAGTGTTAAAAGCATTGCTAAAGTCCAACAATGTTAATACCGTGAGGAGACCATTATCCATTCCAAAGCGTATATCATCAGTTACTTTAAGTAACGCAGTCGTAGTGCTATGGCCAGGACGGAAACCGGATTGAAAAGGGTTGAAAAGATCGTGGCGAGAGAGGAATGTATTCAATTGATTATGGATAAGGCGTTCAAGAACCTTAGACAGAAAGGGGAGGATAGAAATGGGACGAAAATCGACGATGGTTTGAGGGTTCGATCTTTTAGGAAGAGGAATAATTTGGGCTTGCTTCCAAACTGACGGGAAGACTCCGTTGGAAATCGAGCTGTTAAAAAGGAAGGTAAGGACAGGAAGAATAATATCCAGGATAGGTATCAACATGTTTCGACTAATGCCGTCACTCCCCACCGCATTGGAAGAAATAGAAAGCATGCTCTTCTTAACGTCACATTCAGTGAATCGAGTAAAGACAAAAGGAGAGTAGTCTGGAACTGGTAACGAAGAAAGGTAGTTTAAAGTACAAGACTTGTGAGAATCACTGAGACTAGAAGTGACCCTGAAATATAATATCAACTCTAATATATGGAAAACTAGAATTACCGAATTTCATTATGAACTTGATAAATATTTCAATCCCTTAGAAGCACCGAACATACTGAATATGGATGAAATACAACTAGAGCACTACATCATTCAAACTACAAGCAATATACAAAAAGCATGCAATAGCTACTTACCCCGATCCACAGGCCCGCCACGACGTCCGCCCTGGTGGAGTGCCACACTGGATGATCTGAAACAAAAAGTCATAATTAACCATAGAAAACTAAGTAAAGCCGTTCGCAAGAAACTACCACTCACTGAACTAATAACAGAAAAAGCACAACTAAAAAAGGAATACGCTGAAGCAATCCAGAATGCATCTACAACACACTTCCGACAATTTTGTAATAAGCAAGACAAAGAAAACGTTTGGTCTATTACTAACAGGATTATTAAAACAAAACCACTATCACAACCCCCAGCTACGCTTAAAAATGACTCTGGAATCTACACCACAAGTGCTGAGGAAACAGCTGAATTATTAATAACGAAACTTTTTCCGCAAGATACTCCTGACAACACAAAACAAACATCAATCCGAAATTTCACGCGACTACCCCCGAACACCGATGCAGACCCTGAATTCACTACTATGGAAATTACAGAAACCTTAAGAACAATGAACGCTAATAAAGCTCCCGGACACGACCATCTTACAGCTGACATATGTCTACATTTCAGTAAATATTGCCCAAACATAATTACTAACATAATGAATAGGTGCCTTCAGCTTCAATACTTTCCCAAAACTTGGAAAATAGCAGTCACTAAAATAATAACCAAGCCTGGAAAAGAAAGTTATGAGGATCTAGCGTCTTACCGACCCATAGGATTAATTCCTGTCTTCGGCAAGCTGCTGGAAAAACTCATTACCAATCGCTTAGTTCACCACATCTACAGAAACAATCTCAACATAGAAACCCAATTTGGATTCAAACTTCAGACTTCCACTTGTCATGCTCTACATCAAGCTATTAGCATTATCGAGACCGGGAAAGAGAACAAACAACAAGTAGCGGCGGTTTCACTTGACATCAAAGCTGCTTTTGATAACGCTTGGTGGCCATCAATGTTCCGAAGACTAAAACACATGCGCTGTCCTAATAATATATATAGAATTCTTCAAAATTACATGGAAGACCGGAAAGTTATCATTAGGTTCGCAGACAGTGAAGTATGCCGTTCTATGACCCGCGGATGCATCCAGGGATCTGTCTGTGGGCCTATACTATGGAATTTAATTTTAGACGATTTACTCACCACTTCCCTCCCTGCCGGCAGTCACTTACAAGCTTATGCTGACGACTTGCTTCTGATTGCAACAGCCAGAAGCACATATGAACTTCAGGATAAATTAAATACCGCACTTCAAATCTTTCACGACTGGGGGCAAACAAATAAATTAAACTTCAATCCCAATAAAACAACCGCAATAGGATTCACATCACAAGCAAGAAAAATCAGACTCACCATGAACCACACACACATTCCATTCCACAACCAAATAAAATACCTTGGTATTATTATCGATCAAAAACTAACATTCACAAATCACATACACAACACAATAAACAAAGCCAAATCTATATATAATAAGTTGAAAATGTTTGTCCGCCCCACCTGGGGAGTACACTCCGAAAATATAAGAACCATATACTTACAAGTCATCGAGCCTATTATAACCTACGGGTGCAGTGTATGGCACATAGTACTAAAAAACAAATACATATGCAAAAAATTAATATCGCTCCAAAGATCATTCTGTTTAAATATTAATCGTAGCTTCAAGACCGCCAACACCGCGATTTCAATTGTCCTTGCCGACCTTCCACCACTAACCGATAAAATACTTTCAATAGCAGAAATCGAAAAAGTTAAATCATGTACAACCACACAATATCTCCCAGAAGAAATAACGCTTGATACATTAGCCAACCCTTCTACACTACTTCACCCCTCTCTCCGTAACCCCATATCATTTAGCTCTGCGAATTCTCAGGAGGAACTCGACAGCATTCTATGTAACACAGCCACAATCGATTTACATATTTACACCGATGGCAGCAAACAGGACGATGATGTCGGCGCTGCCGTTGTCATTCAAGCACCTGACGGCCATGTGAGTAAAATGAAATATAAACTTCACCACTCCTGTTCTGTCTATCAGGCAGAGCAACTAGCTATCCTTAAAGCCTGCGAATTCATTGAAACTCAAGATTCATCCGCCTTTATCATCTCCGACAGCTTATCATCACTCATAGAACTACAGAACCCATCTAGTTACAATAGATTAACAGTCCAAACTTTTCAGCATATCCACAATATTGAGAGCGGAGGCAGATACGTAAGCTTTATATGGGTTAAGGCTCATGTAGGGATATTCGGTAACGAGTTAGCCGACCAAACAGCTAAGAAAGCAGCCCTCTCAAATATGCAACCTTCGTTTAAAAATTTCCCAATCAGTTACATCAAACAAATTAAACACAAAGAACTTGCAATAGCAAAACAAAAACTCTACGAAGAACCGCAAAATTGTATATACACAAAGAAGCTTTTCCCATCCTACTCAAATCTAACTTCTTTCCTTGCCAAAATCCCCGTCTCATTCCAAACAACCCAACTTGTAACCGGCCACGGATATAATAAACAGTACCTGCACCGATTCCATATAACACCAGATCCTTTCTGTCCTTGCGACAGTACCAGCCCTCAAACCTTTGAACACCTACTTTACCTTTGCCCGAGATTCCAGTCCACCAGGACTGATCTTAATATTTTATGCAGTATGCACAATCTAAATATTAAAAACCTCAACGACATAGCTACAAAAAATGACACTAGTGAACTATTTTTAAAGCACCTATTCTACATTATTAAAAACCTCAAAAAATTCAATAACACGTAAACTAAGCCATATCAGTAAAACATAAACTCATATTATTAAAATCATAAAACACACTTAGTAAAACCCTAAATACTAATAACTAATACTATTTACTAAAACACATATATAACGAAAACTGAAATCAAGCTTAATACCAAAGGCGCAGTCCGTAAGCGCCCGCGGTATATTAGCATCTTCTTAAGCTAATCTCATATCAACCTACCTTACCTTACCTTACCTTACCTTACCTTACCTTACCTTACCTTACCTTACCTTACCTTACCTTACCTTACCTTACCTTACCTTACCTTACCTTACCTTACCTTACCTTACCTTACCTTACCTTACCTTACCTTACCTTACCTTACCTTACCTTACCTTGTGTGAAACACGAATATTTGCTGTCGATACTTTTTTTTTTAAAGTTGACAGAAGAAGCAATTGTTCGGATGAGGTAAATAGTGCTCTTTTAAAAAAAAGATGGCGCGTAACCCAAAAAACGTGACGCGTAACCGAATAAAAATGTGACGGTAAATTTTTTTCCAACGCCGATAAAGAAGTTTCACTTCAAAAAAAAAAGTTTTATACTGTGAACGATAAATGATTAACTTGCATTTTGTCGTTGGTTCAGTGGTTATAAGCATGATATAAGTCTAGGTTCGGTACAAAATATTATATTTTATTTATAAAAAACAGCTACAATGTTTCTTAACAAATATATAAATAAGTATTTTGGTGAAAGCAAAGGTATGAAGGGTATGGTTCTCTGTAATGTAGGATGATTAATTACAGACCCACCATACCCCTAGCCATACCCCTAGGGGTAGGGTGGGACTGAACCGTACCACCGTTGTAGTGCTGGGATTTTATGGAAAATTAGAATAAAAATAGATACCGTAAGTGAGGGTTACTTTAGCTCGGGCGGGTAACTTTGTCCCAAATCAGAAAAAATATTGAACTTGCCGCCCCATCAGTATCTCTTGGGTGACCGTAATAGTTCCAGTTGAAAATCAAAGATAGCCATATAGGCGCGTAATGTAGTGTTATTTTACCGACATTGTTCCTGTATCAAGTTCTCATTGTAACGTGGGATTTTTTGTAACTGAAATAGCTCGCAAGTTCATGCGCAAACTTTCTCAAAACTGTGGTTTTCGGTAAGTTTACTATTGTTTCTAAATTATATAATTATAAAAGGCAAAAACATCCATTTGTGTATTCAGTATGCTAATGGTGATCTGTTATAAGGGTTACTTAACCCCAACATGGCTTAAAATGAGTTTTTTTCACAGAGAAAACTCAACGAGCTAAAGTAACCCTTCTTAAGGCCAACTTTGGCCCAAAATTAAAAAAAAATATATAAACCCTTAAATATTATTTTTTCCTATTTTCGTATGATAACTTTGTAACTTATATTTTAAGGTTCACAATGGAAAGATATAAACGTGACATCACATCACAAAGAGAAGCTACAATTTAATTTGAAAAAAGAAGTGCACGTTTTAGGTCAAAGTAACCCGCAGTTACTCGGTACCTAACATATACAAATATTTAGTTTATTAAAAAAACCAAAATCCGTTCTGGCAAAACCTAAAAATATAACAAATACTTATTTTGTTATTTATCTTAAACAGAGAAACTTAAAAGATGTTAATCTATGTTCTTAATTTGTCTAACGCATGCCCAATGGTGATTTCGTTGTGCACTAACTGCATTTGGACTTCTGTTATAAAATCATCATTCATCATTAATAAACTGTTCCGCTCCACGTTTTTTAGGAGTAACTGTTGTTTTATGAATATTGTAAAGAACATTGATCAGTCGCATTAAAGTTACTGTATTCTTATTTAGAAGTAGCAAACCAGTGAACCAAATGTTCATCAAAAAAAAAAAAAATTTATTAATTGAGAACTTCGGAGATTTTGTGTGGTTTCGTTTGAAATAGAAATCACGTTATTTCTCGAAAACCGGAAGTGCTACGTTACTCACATCCGATTTGTAGTCTTGTCAGACTATTCTTAACTTATTCTCTATAGCTATCTCTTACGGTTTGGCCACTGAAACAGCACCACGGACGGACGGACGGACTTGTCTATTAGATAAGAGATTTTATTCAATTTTAGGTACCTACGTAATATTCGGAAAAACAAAACCTGAAAGCATATAGTGCACAGCACTACGGTGGTATGGTTCGGTCCCACCCTACCCCTGGGGGCATGGCTAGGGGTATGGTGGGTCTGTCATGGGATGATTTGTTTGTTGCACCAGTTCGTGCCCCGTAACGAGTATGAAGAGGTGGTGCTGGTGCTGCTAGTGGGCGAGGCGATGGCCGTGCGAGACGCGGTGCTGTCTCAAAGCGCGGAGTTCCACGCGGCGAGATTACATTCCCTGCAGAACGCCTGCGCGCTCATAGATCTACTCGCCCTGGCCGCCACTAGGTGGGGGCAGCTGTGCCTGGTGCTCGAGGTAACATAATGGATCGCTATTATAAACCTATTGAAAATAACTCTGTATTTATACTGTGTGACACACCAATAGGGGTGATGACGGGGTCAAGGGCGGATCCAGCTTTAGCGCCAGGGAGGGGTCATATACCCAGCTTTGGCCCAGGGGGGGGTCATATAGTCGTGGTATATTAAATATTGAAAGTACTTAAATAAAATCCCCCTGGGTTTGGTCCATCTGTACCCAGCCCGGGGGGGGGGGGGGGGGGTCATGACCCCCATGGATCCGCCCTTGGACGGGGTACAGTAAACGAAATTCTATTTAGTCCGTCAGTTAGATGATCAAAAAATAATGGACACGTATTTTTTCTTTGGGCAATCAACCAAAAAATGACAAAGTATTAGCGCGTCAAAGTTTGGGAGTAGGGGCTCGTGACGTCACTTTTGAGTGAATTTTCACTTATAAGTGTACTCATACGTGACGTCATGCGACTTTTCAAATCAATATATCTCTGCAATGTTTATATTATGTGAAAAAAGAAAAAATATGTGTCCAATACCTTTTGGTAATCTACCTGATAAACGAAGAAAAAAAATAGTCATCATCCCTATTAATGTATAATTTCACATTATATAATGAAAGGTGACTTCAGGAATCATCTCTGAAGTCATTTGTCAACTTGACGACTCTGTAAATGATAAAACAGGGAGAAAAAAAACAGCCCTTGCTGAGTTTCATGCCGGTTCTTCTCAGTACAAGGTCTCCCGCCGTAGATTTACGAACCGATGGCGTAGCTTCTAGTCACTCATATGTGCTTGTAACAGCCTAAACTGAATAAATGATTTTGATTATGATTATACTCTGTTCAACTTCATGTATTGATGTGTAACATATTTCCTCTCTCTTTCGTGCAATTTGTGGGAGTGATTACGTGAAGTGGGACGGAAGTGTGTAACAGGAAGTTTGGGAAGCGCGCGCTATTTGATTTGATTTTAGAATATAATGTTGAAATGGCTTATTCCTTTTGTGGTATGTTTTTTTTTTACTAATATAAGGTGACGTTTCAAATGTTACACATCATACGCGACTATAGTAAGGCTCGCTCGTTTTATTTTTATTTTAGGAAAGTTTACTGCTATCAATCGCTTATTACATAAAAAAAAAACAATATCAACTTGGCAATTACTTCCTACCATAACTCTTGCTGGCACCAGTATACCATTCAATGTTACTGTTTAAAATTTAGGATTAACTGTCGATAATTGCTTGAGCTGGGGTCCACAGTTACAAGCTGTTAGCCGAAAACTGTTTGCTTCAGCAGCCTCGCTGAAGAGACTCCGCAATTTCCTCTCTACTGCCACCAAAATTTCCCTAGCACAGTCTCTGTTGCTTCCTATTCTTGATTACGCTGACGCCTGCTATCTTGATCTCACGGAAGACCAGCTTAATAAGCTTGAGCGGCTTCAAAATTTCTGTATTCGTTTCATATTTAGCATACCCAAATATGATCATGTGTCACAATTTCGATCACAGCTCAAGTGGCTACCAATTCGATTTCGCCGGAATACTCACATCCTCACACTTCTCTACAATATATTGTTCAATCCTTTGTCCCCGCGCTATCTCAAGGAATGCTTCAATTACCTTCATAGCTCAAACGCGTTATCTATAGCAGAAAATTTAACCCTAAAAATTCCTACTCATGACACAACATAATATAAAAGCCAATTAAAATCCTCCACATATTAAACATGCTTATATAACTATAACTCCTGCGCACTCATAGATCTACTCTCATTGGTCGCTACTAGGTAGGGCAGCTGTGCTTGGTGCTCGAGGTATATAGGAGCGATGTAATCTTAGATTAAAACAAAAAGGGAAGATGCGGTACGCTCATACTAGCATCAAATAAAATATGCACCGACTCAACTACATGAGCAACTCTCACACACGCACACTTCTGTAATAGTACATCACTACATAGTATAAAACAAAGTCGCTTTCTCTGTCCCTATGTCCCTTTGTATGCTTAAATCTTTGAAACTACGCAACGGATTTTGATGCGGTTTTTTTTAATAGATAGAGTGATTCAAGAGGAAGGTTTATATGTATAATACATGCATAATATAGTAGAAAAACACTGATAATTTTAGAGGTTTTTAATGTAAGGTCGTAAATAAACACACACATCATCCTTATCCAATTAAGTACCTTAAATACATTGTGCATTTAATATACAACAATTTGGCCCTTTAACGCATATAATTTAAATGAATATTTTCGAAGATATTACAAATTTAAAATTCAGGGAACTAGCGGTTCCGACGCTACCGGGCTTGGCGGCGCGTGCCTATTGTAATTGGGTATTAGAAGAATGTCATTGTGTATAATACAAGCCTGAGAACAAAAACTATAGTCTACACTACAGCTTTACACCGAAGCGAAACGAGGGCGGGCCACTAGTAATAATATAAGTGCGGTAAGTTGAGAATTACAGCCGAGGCGATATTGTTAGCCCGAGCTGTAGGTGAGGGCTATAAGAAGGCAGAAGCCGTAATTATCAAACCGCACGTATGTCATACGACATTTTATAACACATTTGCGAGGAAATAATACTACCTACGTACGTACTTTCTGAAAATGAATTTGCACCTTTGTTTGTTTTCCATAAGATGAAATTTTGATACGCTTGACTGTAAGTACTCGTATCTTTCCGTGGATTTTTCGGGCAAGAGGCTTAGCGTAGCCTTTATCGACTTCCGGCGGTGACAAATTAATAACTTCGTTACTACTTGACAATATTTTAAAATAAAAACAATACAGCGAAAAGTTGATGCGCGCGCATCAACGCTATTTTTTTTTTTTTTTTGTTCCTTTGCCTTGAAGGCTTTTTTCAAGGCAAAGGAACAAAAAAACAGCCAGTGTTACTAATAAAGAAAATTAATATTTTTGTGACTTTGTTACCGATACATGGTTGTTATTAATTTCAAAATGAATCAAATTAAAAAAATAAATATTTATATATTAAATTTTTTCTCTCCCAAAGTTAATTTTATTAAGAAAATGTTGGCTACCTTTCTGACATAAAAAATCTTTGCTAGGATTTAAAAAAGTATCGGTCATTTTTAGACGGAGCGTAATAAGCCGTTCGTTTTACTTTACATTACCGCACGCGTGTGTAATGTGATAGATTATGATATTGGAATTAGTGCAATAAGAGACGCTTTACGAGCATAATTATATGTTATAAATAAACATTCAATCGAGCGAGCGAGACAGAGTCCGCGGCGCTTGGCTTGGCGAATGCGTTTTTTTTCTCTTTCTAAAAAACTGAGATTTTTGAGAAAAATTTACGAATGAAAAGTGGTACCGTGAAATTTGTTATCTGATCTTGCACTATTTGTGTTCTTTATCAAAGTATCGAAGGCATTGTTTTATCTTTATAATATAGAATATACGCAATATTGTTATATTGAGTGCACATGCAGCGTGTTTGAATGTCCAATTGTGACTAAAGCAAATTGTGATCATGCACCACAATGAGGGCTATCGCGTATGAATCCGCCGCTAGAGGCGCTAGTGTAGCGTGAGGTCTCTGAAATGTCAAATGTTATTGCTTGTTGGTTGACTACGCGGGTTTATTTCTTATTAAAATAATGTTGTGAATAATTGGTAACAATTCGGCTTAATTATGGCAAATACGAGTTATGTGGCAATAAATGTCAGTTATTAAAAATTTGAGCTTAGAAAAATGATTATGTTCCCATTTTTTCCGAATAAAACGGAACTGCGCGTCACTGTGGCATGGCCTATTATGTTTAGGATATGGTTCTTTTGTGTTAAAATACGATCTAAATGTAACCTTTGATTTCATGTGCGTATTAATAAACTTTAAAAGTTACAATTTAGGACCTCACTCAACAGTGGCGTAATCTGGTGAGGCAGAAAACGGTAGCCCTCATTCAAGCGGATCACTTTTGAGCCGCGAGTGCCGTATCTTCCCGCTTTGTTTTAATCTTAGGCTATACTCTTTTCAACTTCCTTTGAGCCAAAAATGTAAACAAACAAACCAATGGATCCAAAACATTTTTGTCGAGAATAAAGATTGTTGAGTACTGATGACAGCAAATAATTCATGACTATACACGACCTCGAACGCACATTACAAACATCGAAGCTCAACGTGACCGCGGGCATTGCATACAGGAAATCGTTTACTTTTGTTTTCTCCGCATCGGGCAATTGTCGCACTCTTAATTACTTATAAAATATTTATTTGAAATTCTTGTTCTTATAATTAAGTAGATAGATAGATAGATAGATAATGCGTTTATTTTTTTTCTTCAACATACATATACATTTACAGACAGAGTAATACAATAAAAAAAAAAAATACAAGAAATCAGCTATGAAATATCTATATGTATGCTGCAGAAAGCAAAAGGCCAAGGCTCGGCTAAACATTTGCCAGTTTTAAGGCAAAATACCGATTTTCAGCCATCACCTTTATGAGTGAGTAGACTAGCTTTATTAATAATAAACATTTAAAAGATTTTGCAAGGAGAAAAGAGAAAACAGCCATGACAATGCAGTGGAGACAAACACATATTTACTACAATATAGAGACAAATAATGAAGTGATTGTTGGCGAGATAAAATTAGATGATATCATACATATATATAATAACTATAATTACACATGATTTATTTAAAGTATATAAAGTAAGTAACTTTAAAAAATAATTAAGTCCTCGCTTGTAGTCCGCCGTGATCAGATGGTCGGTGTAACCAGACTTATTTTTTAATGTAAATTGTTTGCTCTTTAATTTAGTAGTATTATAATGCGTTCCAAGTTTAGGAATAGGTATAGCTTTAGGTCTTTTTAATGTCACTTTTGTTTAATCTATCTATATAAAACTCAAAGGTGACTGACTGACATAGTGATCTATCAACGCACAGCCCAAACCACTGGACGGATCGGGCTGAATTTTGGCATGCAGGTAGATGTTATGACGTAGGCATCCCCTAAGAAAGGATTTTGATCAATTATACCCCCAAGGGGATAAAATGGGGAATGAAAGTTTGAATGAAACTTTGTCAATTTTAAACCGATCGGGCTGAGACTTTGCATGCAGGTATAAGAAGAATCATAGATGAATATCATTGTGTATAATACAAGCCTGAGAACAAAAACTGTAGTCTACACTGCGGCTCTACACCGAAGCGAAGCAAGGGCGGGTCGCTAGTTGTGTTTAAAATTCGACCTATTGAAAAACCTTTTTATGTTTTGCTAACCTTTTGGCTTAAAGGTAGATAAATAGACTATAGGGTTACATGATTGTGAGCGTTAGCATGGCTGCACTTTTTACAGAACTCGTTGACCTACTGGCCCTAACTGCTATCTGGTGACAACATAACACTTTAGGCTATGTTCAGATGGTTGCGCAACAATACGCGTACATTCTATTACCGATACATGGTTATAATTTCTTGTCAAAATGATTCAAATTAAAGAATTAAATGTTTATATATTATACTAGCTGACCCAGCGAACTTCGTACCGCAATAAAAAAATAGGGGTTGGTGGTAGAAAGTTGAAAATTTAGGTACGTATTTTTGCATGATGTATCATAAAAAATTAAAAAAAATATATCTTTAATTGAAAAAAAAAAATTAGGGGTGGATTACCCTTAACATTTAGGGGGATGAAAAATAGATGTTGTCCGATTCTTAGACCTACCCAATAGGCACACAAAATTTCATGAGAATCGGGAAAGCCGTTTCGGAGGAGTTTAACCACAAACACCGCGACACGAGAATTTTATATATTAGATTTTATCTCCCAAAGCTTATTTTATTAAGAAAATGTTGGCTACCTTTTAAACATAAAAACGCTTTGCTAAGATTTAAAAAAGTATCGTTCGTTTTTAGACGGAAAATAATAAGCCTTGGGTTTTACTTTACATTACCGCACGCGTGTGTAATGTGATAGATTATGATATTGAAATTGGTGCAATAAGAGACGCTTTACGAGCAAATGTGTTATAAAAGTTATATTTTGGATTTTTTAACCATTTAACTGCTAGATGTTAAAATCTAAAGAAAATTTTACTACAAAAAAACACGCTGTCCCGGCAGAAGACGGGACTCGAACTTAAATAAATAAAAGTGGGCTACCAACAATGCAAAGAGATGGCGCTGCCTTGCAGCCTAAGGCTAGAGAAAATTCGACAAGGCCGTCATTACCGCGGTAGCATAATGGTCAGTGCATTCGCCTGGATAATAATAATAATATTTCTATAATACGGGCCTTAGTCGTTTAATCGAATTCCATTAGAACTCATATTCGGGCTAACGACCAAGTTTAGGTAATCGCGCCATAATGTGCGTTAAGAGTTTTGAAATCGTTAGATGAGGGTAGTTGTGTTTTATTGCTTGTCATCTGAACTCCTTTGCCACGTGATCATGCGCGACGACAACCAATATCGAATTCGAATAGGTTGCGAGTGCGAAATGTCCTTGTCAAATTTTGTATGGAAATTTGAACAGCGCCACAGAGGACGTAACGAGAACTAAAAATCAGTACACATTCTACATATAAAATAGATCCAATTTAACTAATCGAGTTCGATAATGGTTCGTGCTTAAGGGTACTGTACCCTTAGTACGAGTTTTACAGTTACAAAAAAACTATGATAGTTTTCGTGAGTTCGCACTCGTACTAAGGGTACTGATTTTATTGTTTTCGTTTCAATATAAACAAATAGTGTTTAAATTCTATCATTAAAAAATCATTTGCGTCTTCTTAAATTTTATTTATTTATTTGACATACCATCGACAATTTCACAAATTTGAATAAAGATTAAAGATGCAGGTAGTAGTACTCAACCGTGTGAATTGCCATTGCAGGCATGTACAACATTGACTATATGTAGGTAGGTACTTACTTATACTTTTAACAGTAAGAAATTACTGTTCGGTTTGAACGTTACCATACAGATGATTTTTGAGGGCTTTGAGTGGAGCATGAAAGATGTCAACATCACGGCATATCTCGTTGTATGCATCTTTAATTCTATTAAACGGTGATGCTAATTTTGTTTTAAAGGGACAGTTAATGAATGATTTGACGGGTTGGCGGGGGGATTTTTCCGGGAACCTTTAGCTTAATTTCCGCAAGAAGTTCTTGCGCAACAATATTGCCGTGAAGTAATTTGTGCAGAGATAAAATGTCCGCGGTTTTTTTACGCTTTTCTAAGGTATGAAGTTTAAAGTGTTTCAGACGAGTGTGGTAATCCGCACGGTAAGGACACTTCCTGTCTTTGAAAGCAAGAAACCTCGTAAAATTACGTTGAATTCGCTCGATTCTATCTATATGGACTCAATATTGCGGATTCCAGACTTGGGAACTGTATTCTAGTATACTTTGCACCAGACTGTTATACAAGCATAAAATTGTTGCGGTGTTATGGAAATTATTACATAGGCGTTTCAAGAAACCCAACATTTTTAATGCCTTTGCTCATAACGTTAATATGTTCAATGAATCCGAGCTTTTTGTCAATTATAATGCCCAGATCACGAATCGAATCACTTCGGTTAGCTGTGCAGAATAATTAGAAATTTACCAGAAAGATAAAAACATTAACGCTTCTGGTTAATGTTTTTTGTCTTTCTGGTAAATTTTATATATAGACATTTACTAGATTCATACCGTTGTCTACGCACCATTCCGATACCGAGTCTAGATCTTTTTGGAGCAAAAGTATATCTTCCTCGTTTTTGATCGGTCGATACAACTTTAAATCGTCGGCAAAAAGAGAGCAGCTGCTATACCGGATTTTATTAAGGATATCGTTAATGAAAACGAGAAACAGAATTGGTCCCAAGATTGAACACTGGGGGACTCCCGACGAGGTGAGGAATGGTTTCGATTTGTAGCCGTTCACAACTACCATTAACAACCGATGCTCTGAGTAAGAACGGAGCCATAGCAGTAGGGGTCAATGAATTCCGTAACGCTTCAGTTTCACAAACAGTATATTGTGGTCAACCTTGTCAAACGCACTGCTAAAATCTATATAAATGGAATCTATTTCTACGCCAGAGTCGATTGATTTCGTTAGTTCGTTGACATACGAAACAAGATTGGTTGCTACTGATTTATGTTTACATGATTTGCATGAATGATGTTTTTAAAATGGGAAGTTAAAATTTTAAGTATATTTGGCTAGTTTTCACCAAAATTTACACAGAAACATAATTTACAATTACGAAAATTGGGATTATTTTCGTGAGCTCAAACTCATACTAAGGGTACTGAACTTAGTCTTAATTATCTCAATATTGAATGACTTAGTTATGCAAATGAGAAATATACGAATTGAATGGATTTGTGTTAGTAATTGAACTGTATGCGTGCAGTCGCTGGAGCGCGCGATGAAGTTCTCGTTCGGGTCCGCGCACGTGTGGAGGCAGCGCGCCCTCGCCACCGCCGCCGCCGCGCCGCACCAACCCCACGCCGCGCGCCTCACGCCCGGTAACTATACCTACACGTGCCGCGGATGACGCCCGGTTATTATACCTATACGTGCATGCATACACACACACACACACACACACACACACACACACACACACACACACACACACACACACACACACACACACAGCGCACGCATCAGGCGCAAGCCGCGCGGTTGACGCCTGGTACATCTCATCTTAGATACGCCACGTGCGCTCAAAATGTGTTCCAATCAAGGAGTGCTTGAACACCACTCAAGCACTTCTTAGTTTGCATTCACAGGGACATATTTTGTAGCTGATGATGATGATATATGACAAAGAAAACGACAGAAACTTTAATTTACCCACATATTCCAATATTATTTCGTCCGATATTCAGGTGGTAGTGGATGGGGAGCGGCGATACGTGCCCGCACTGTGGCGGCGCGCGCCGTCCCGTTAGTACCACAAGACGCGGCGCTGAGGCTGGTAGCTGCCAACACCTGCTATGGAGTGGGCTGGGTGAGTCATATGGGATACCGCAGGGGTATCACCTGGGGCCATATTTATACACGGGGGCAGTGACGTCACTCGTATCACGTGCCCGCACTGTGGCGGCGCGCGCCGTCCCGTTAGTACCACAAGACGCGGCGCTGAGGCTGGTAGCTGCCAACACCTGCTATGGAGTGGGCTGGGTGAGTCATATGGGATACCGCAGGGGTATCACCTGGGGCCATATTTATACACGGGGGCAGTGACGTCACTCGTATCACGTGCCCGCACTGTGGCGGCGCGCCCCGTCCCGTTAGTACCACAAGACGCGGCGCTGAGGCTGGTAGCTGCCAACACCTGCTATGGAGTGGGCTGGGTGAGTCATATGGGATACCGCAGGGGTATCACCTGGGGCCATATTTATACACGGGGGCAGTGACGTCACTCGTATCACGTGCCCGCACTGTGGCGGCGCGCCCCGTCCCGTTAGTACCACAAGACGCGGCGCTGAGGCTGGTAGCTGCCAACACCTGCTATGGAGTGGGCTGGGTGAGTCATATGGGATACCGCAGGGGTATCACCTGGGGCCATATTTATACACGGGGGCAGTGACGTCACTCGTATCACGTGCCCGCACTGTGGCGGCGCGCGCCGTCCCGTTAGTACCACAAGACGCGGCGCTGAGGCTGGTAGCTGCCAACACCTGCTATGGAGTGGGCTGGGTGAGTCATATGGGATACCGCAGGGGTATCACCTGGGGCCATATTTATACACGGGGGCAGTGACGTCACTCGTATCACGTGCCCGCACTGTGGCGGCGCGCGCCGTCCCGTTAGTACCACAAGATGCGGCGTTGAGGCTGGAAGCTGCCAACACCTGCTATGGAGTGGGCTGGGTGAGTCATATGGGATACCGCAGGGGTATCACCTGGGGCCACAGTTATACACGGGGACAGTAACGTCTCTTGTATCACAAGATTAAAATAAAATAATTTTACTTGGAACTCTTAAAATACAATTTTCATCTATGCAGGTAATATTTTAATAATTAAGTCGATAAAATGAAACATTACCTTAAAGAAAACCTGTTTATGAAAGCTTATCACTTAATTGCTGCATTTTCATAATAATAAAATACGCATACGTAAGTCCAACAATGCTTAGTTGTGGCCAAGTCTTGTATAGTACTTTTCTCAAATAATGCGCGGAAATTATTAGTCTTCAAAATCAATGACGAGCAACAACATTTTTTTTTCGTGTTAAAGTCTTCATTTATTTTATTTTTCATAAACAGCTTTATATTTCGAAATTTAAATAAAACCTTTGAGCTGTTACCTCCTTGGTTGTCATGTTTGGGAGTAAATGATCGTTCCATTTTTAATTACACGACAGTTATGTGTTTATTATGTAATTTACTTGGCTTGCAAAACAAGACAGATATGGATTTTCATACATTTTTTGCCAGTCGCTGCTCGCATGTCAGCCAGTACAGCAATTTCGTTTTATTTCGAAGAAGGTTATCAAAATAATGCTCATATTTCCTAGCATGTTTGAGAAAAATAAGTTTTAATTTTTATTATTTTAAAGCATGTAACTGCTTGATGTTTAAATCTAAAGAAAATATAACTAGAAAAAAAACCACGCAGACCAGGCAGCAGGCGGGACTCGAACCCTGATGCACTGACCAATTATATACGGCCCTCATGGACCGCGTCGAAATTCTTCTAGCCATTCTTAAGCTGCAAGGCAGCGCCATCTCTTCGCATTATAGGTAACCCACAATGTCAAATGAATACTTTTACAAATATGAAACATTTGAAAGAAGAAATAGTAATTAGAGTTATAATTTTTATTATTTTATTTGCGGGTTCGAGTCCCATCTGCTGCCTGGTCCGCGTGGATTTTTTTCTAGTTATATTTTCTTTAAAAATAAGTTTTTCATTTTAGAGAATAAAAGTCCATAAAAGATATTCAAAAATTCCTAAAAACAATATTTTTTTCTTTATCGTTTGCTTTCCATTTAGATCGAAGAGGGCATCGAAATGGCGGAACAAGCTCTTAGTATAGAAGAGCAGAGCGAGGGCAGTTTGCTCGCGCGCTGCTGTTTATACACCGCCATCGGACATCAGATGAAAGCGCAGGTCAGTGCTAGGTGATTTAACCTTATGTTCATGTTTTAGTACATTTTTTTTATTTTGAAAAAAAAAAATATCTTGTTATCTTAAAAGCCTTGTCAAAAACCGTAATACAAGTGAAAGAATTAAAGTTCTAAAGGAAGTGGAGTTAACTTAACAAAATGAGAATCCCTCAGAAACCCAAAAAAATTAGGTTAAAAAGTGTCATTTGTCGCAATCCAGATAATAAAATATATGTGTGCCGAATATCACCCGAATCCCTTAAGCCTTTTTTGCGTGATTGAGTTACAAACATACACACTTAATATTAGTATAAATGGCATGATAATTAATTATTAAACCTGCTCTCAAGTCACTTACTGTTTTGGTCGCAATCATACTAATTTTAATGTGCAATACATGACCTTATTTATACACAAAACTCAAAATTACACTATCGAAAGGTATCTATCCGTTAATAACGTCTTAGGGCTCCGAACTCCATTGGCACTCGTATTCAGTCAACGACCATGTATAAACGAGGCATAAAGTTTGCCACCTTCTTAACATTAAAAAAAAAACGTAATTCAAAACCTTGAGCTTTAAAATTGCCTCATTAATACATATAAACTTCACGTTTGCTTGAATCCAGAAAACGAATTCACGTATCGAAAAGGATGCGGCGAACGACACATGTTTAAAGCTTTTACTGCGAGCGGTGCAGCTCGACGACAACGACCACCTGGCCTTCTACTACTTGGGGCTACAGTACATGTATCTCGGCATGCTCAACGAAGCTATGGTGAGTTAATTTTATTTTGATGTTTACCCAATAGGTGAGTGTTCTGAGAAATTGTTTAATTTGGTGCCGACCGAATTCCTTCATTTAGCTAGACGCTGGGTGTTCCAGCAACATGCGGTAAACAAATTTGATCAAGTTTGAATTTTATATTCCACAATTATTTTTTATATAAATTCTTTTGTGTTAGGTATCTAAAAATACTTTTAATAAGGCACAAAATAGTCTTGATTTTCTTCATATTTAATCTATTTCATAGAAAGGTATCATACATATTTTTTCCTGCGCTATGAATAGGGAAGATGCAAATATAATATTTACGAAAATTTTATGATTAAAATGTCAAAAAAATATGAAAGAAAGGCCACTGCAACGTTTTTATTTTCCATAACGTTGTTTTTTAACAATAATTACGAATTAAAAATGACTTGAAAAAAACGTATTTTAAAACACCAATCAGCGTTTAGTGACGTCACTCCTGTTATGACAACTTATTTGAGATAATGGTTATAAAGTGAATATTATTTTATGGGAATATTAATTGCGTTTTTTTAATAAAAATGGAAGTTGGGCTTATAAAAGCAGACTCCAGGAAATTACCAAGATTTAGTGTTGACATGGTTGTAACTTTTTTTGTCCAAAGTGCAGAGTTTTCAAGTGTAGAAAGTGAAAGGGACTAAATTACTACGGTAGGTATGTAGCGTCTAGCGTTTCAATGAAATTAGGCATTATGACCCACTTTACGTTACTATGTAAATATGTACTTGCGTTATAATAAATTAGTATGAAATTAATATTTGTTGTGATTGTTTGTTTCCCTACTCATACTCAACTCACCATACACATGATTAACTTTACATTGGTGACCCCGTGGACATTAATAATAAAGGGACAATAAAAATAGTGTTAAAAAACTTTAAACTAAAGTTTGTGAAGTGACCGTGTGTAATACTAATAAAAAAAAATCAGCGATGCCGGACGTGCCCACACAGCAAGGCAATTTCCAGTACCAGCCTATGCAGAGTCAAGCTCAGCAACCACAAGGCACAAGTTATGCCGGACAAGGCCAGCAACCCACCTTTTCAAGTCCGTCAACATCGTCGCACATGGAAGTGTCATCGATAAGCGTAACCGCCAGAATTCCAGAATTTTGGACTGAGATGCCTCGGCTGTGGTTCGCTCAGTTCGAATCAATAATGCTGCCACAAAAACAGGGGGATGACTGTAAGTTTCATCTGGTTGTATCAAAATTAGGCCGAGAAACTGTACAACAAGTCGGTGACCTACTACTGAATCCACCAAACGAACAGAAATACGGAGCGATCAAACAACGACTGCTATCAATATACGAGGAATCGGCAGAACGACAGTTCCAAAAATTAATCGGGGAGATGGAACTTGGTGACCAGAAGCCGTCACAATTATTGAGGAAGATGACCGAACTTGCAAGAAATGCCAAAGTAGCAGATTCCACGCTCCATAACCTATGGTTACAACGATTACCAGGATCTGTAAGAGCAGTGTTGGCAGTCAGCCAAGATCAAAAACTAGACAACTTGGCTGGCATCGCAGATAAAATAATGGAGAACATAAAATTCGCCGAAGTGTCAGAGGTAGCCAGCAGTAGTCATTTTCCAATGAATGAACTATTGACAAAAATCAATAAGTTAACACTGGAAGTCGCAGAGTTGAGAAGCCACCAGTTCAAATCACGAGGACGCGGACGCGGATATCAGTCGAGGAACCGAAGTCGCTCCAGGCCAAGGGCAGGAAATGGAACCCAACTATGTTATTGTCACCGCCGATTTAGGAATCGTTCGACAAAATGCGAGCAGCCGTGTTCATGGAAATCGAATTCGGAAAACTCCCAATAGTGTTGACGGGGGCGGAAGTCAGCGCTATTTATCCATCGAGCCGCCTGTGCGTTATCGACCGCAAAAGTCGATATCGTTTTTTAATAGACATCGGGGCAAACATAAGTGTAATTCCAAAAACAAAAAACGCACCAAAGTCCAACGAGTACAAATTGTATGCAGCGAACGGCAGCGAAATAAGAACCTACGGTGAAAGAACGCTCGAAATGGATCTCGGGTTACGACGACCTTATAGATGGACATTCGTAATCGCTGACGTCAAACAGCCAATACTGGGTGCAGATTTTTTAGCAAAATATAACATATTAGTGGATATGAAACAGAAAAAATTAATTGATGCGAGCATAACCAACACATTTATACCTACAATCAAGACCATAAACGCTAAGATCGCATATGCTGATTTATTAGAAAAATATCCCGATATAACGAAACCCTTCTGTGCAAAAGAAACACCCAAACACCGCGTCGTTCATCAAATTATCACGGAAGGACACCCTGTGTACTCTAAGTGCCGCCCCTTATCAGCTGAAAAGTACAAACTTGTTAAGCAGGAAATAGAAAACATGCTCGCTATGGGGATTTGCAGATCATCTAAGAGTGAGTGGGCAAGCCCGATCCATGTCACAACAAAGAAAGACGGCGGAATAAGATTATGCGGTGATTATCGAAAGTTGAATTCGATCACCAAACCCGACCGTTATCCCATTCCAAGGTTGTTAGACTTTACGTATCTTTTGCCAAAAAAGACCGTGTTTTCAAGAATTGACCTTAAAAGAGCATATAATCAGATCCCCGTTAAAGAAATAGAAAAAACAGCGATCATTACACCATTTGGCTTATTTGAATACCCACGCATGCCTTTTGGTCTGCGTAACGCAGGACAAACATTTACGAGATTTATGAACGAGATCATGCGTGGCTTAGACTATGTGTTTTGCTTCGTCGACGATATTTTGGTGGCCTCAGAAAGTGAGGGTTGCCACAGAGAGCATGTCGAAGAAGTACTGAGAAGATTAAACCATCACGGAATCACACTGAACATTGATAAATGTTTATTTGGTCAAAATGAAATTGAATTCCTGGGATACAAAATTACTACTCAAGGGATAATGCCACTGCCAGAGAAAACTAAAGCCATTGATGAATATCCGTTACCAAAAACCATACGAGAATTAAAACGTTTTATGGGAATGCTGAATTTCTATCGGACGAGTATACCGCATGCTGCCTTACATCAAGCGCCACTAAATAAGTATATGTGTGGTTGTAACAAAAAAGACAATAGTACCATCGAATGGAATGACCAAACCGAGGAAGCCTTCAGACAGTGCAAGGACAGCTTGAAAAAGGCTATTGCACTCAGCCCACCATTTGACGATGCTCCACTATCGCTCATGACAGACGCATCGCAAACACGCGTAGGCGCTGTGTTACAACAGTACATAAATAAAGAGTGGAAACCAATTGCATTTTTCTCTAAAACCTTGTCAGAGACCCAACAGAGATACAGTACCTACGATAGAGAGCTGTTGGCTATATACATGGCTATACGTCATTTTCAAGATAATTGTGAAGGTCATGAACTGATAATATACACTGACCATAAGCCACTGACCTATACAAATAAAACGAGCTCAAAAGAAAAAATATCACCGAGATGATTACGTCAATTAGACTATATAGCTCAGTTTACAACGGAAATAAGACACGTCTCAGGTTCGCATAATATAGTGGCCGACGCAAAGACGCACTCTCCAGAGTGTCACAAATAGACTGCCCTATGAATATTGATTGGGATGAAATAGCAAAATGTCAACATGAGGATTTGGAAATAAAGAATATATTGCAACAAAATAATTTGAAATGGAAAAAAATAAGCCTACCTAGCAACAAGGAATTATACTGCGAAGTGTCAACGAATGAAATTCGACCTTATATACCGAACATATTTAGACAACAAATATTCGGTATATTACACAACGTCACACATCCAGGTATTAGTACGTCGAGGAAATTACTCCAAAAACACTACTTTTGGCCCGGAATGAACCAGGACGCCAGCAAATGGGCTAAGCAATGTATACCGTGCCAGAAATCAAAGATTATTAGACATAATAAGACACCACTTATGCAGTTTCCCGAATCAGGACGTTTCGAGCATGTCCATATAGACATAGTCGGACCTCTGCCAATATCAAATAACAACAGATATGTAGTAACATTTATAGATCGTTTTACCCGGTGGCCGGAAGCAATTCCAGTACCGGAAGTGACAGCCAAAATAGTAGCTAAAACTTTTTATAACAGTTGGATTACGAGGTTTGGATGTCCCATTAGAATTACAACCGATCAAGGACGCCAGTTCGAGTCAAATTTATTTACTTCGTTGGCAAAGTTAATGGGTATAAAGAAAGTCAGGACGACAAGCTATCACCCACAAGCTAACGGAATGGTAGAGAGATGGCATAGAATTATGAAAACAGCCATAATAGCGCGTGGTAACTCAGTAGACTGGTCACGAGAGCTACCTACCGTTTTATTAGGGTTACGTACAACGGTTCGACAAGATTATGACGTCAGTCCAGCACAGATGGTCTACGGAAGTAACATTAGAATACCGGGAATATTTTTGGAAGTAAAAAACAAAAACAACGTTATATCACCCGACTCATTTGTTGAAGAATTGCAACGATCCATCCAAAATATCAGCCCAGTTCCGAGCAATATAAAATCACCCAAAAACACCTTCATCTACAAAGACATGGATACATGCAAATATGTGTTTGTTAGAGTAGACGCTGTGAAGAAACCGTTAGTAGCACCGTATGAAGGTCCATACCAAGTATTGGAAAAACATGAAAAATATTTTAAAGTTCAGTTGCGAAATAGAACATGCGTCATTACAATCGACCGATAGAAACCAGCGTTCATAGCTCAGGAGGGCAATGACATCAAAAACGCATCGCCTGCACAAAATGCACTGAAGCGCAGGGCGATGACGCGAATTCGACACCGACGTATGTTACCAAATCAGGTCGAATAGTGAAACCCGTCGTCCGTTTTTGCAATTAATTATTTTTCTATATTACAGCATTTAATATCGGAATTCATTTCACAAGCGACCGG